CCATTGTAAATGGACAAGTGCCATGGGTGGTTCTTGAAGTCATGCCCTAGTGGAACTTATTCCTCATCCTATACGTATTGCAAGGCAGTGTGATGTAGTGGTTAGAGGGTTGGGCTAGGACTAGGAGACCCTGGTGCCCACTTGCCATGAAACAAACCGGGCGAATTTGGGCCGGTCATTCTCTCTAAGCATAACCTACTTCACAGGGTTGTTGTGAGGATAAAATGGAGGAAAGAACCACATGCACCTTCCAGGGCTCCTTGAAGGGAGGGCAGGATAAAAATGCACTCGATGCATAAATATAAATATGCAGTCTGGTTGCGGCTTCTTATGGAAGCACTCTTCCTTTGTTCAGAGGCCCTTTCCATATTTACAAGTTCCTAATCAAAAATACCAGTTCTGGGGATGATCGCTGGCTTTTACTATTTAGAATTTTTTAAAAAGTAACCTCATGTCTCCACTTCCAAAACCTATAAGGTAGTTCTTCTCAGAATTTAAAAAAACCAGTATCGGAAGGATATTTAAAACAATATAATAACACCAGTCACCATCATAAAACATCAGCTTGAGTGATGCTGACACTAAGCCTTCATGTCCAGCTATAAATAAATCCAGGGCTTTTTTTGTAGAAAAAGCCCAGCAGGAACTCATTAGCATAATAGGCCACACCCAACAGCAGAAACTCATTAGCATATTAGGCCACACCCTTGACAGCACAGCTCGTTAGCACATTAGGCCACACCCCTATGTTACCAGAAGTGTGGTCATCCAGCCACACCCACCTTTTGCTTCTTATTCTGTTTACCTTGTTTGTTTTCAAAACCCAGGGCTTTTTTTTGAGCAGGAACTCCTTCGCATGTTAAGCCACACACCCCCTAATATAGCCAATCCTAATGAGTTCCTGCTGTTGGGTGTGGCCTATTATGCTAATGAGTTCCTGCTGGGTGTGGCCAACTTGGGAGCCAGCCGGAACTCCGTTCCTGTGCGTTCCTGCCCCAAAATAGCCCTGAATAAATCACCAGACTCCAGAACTGTGGGTCGCAGGGCAAAGCATGTGGCCATTTCCCATCAACACCTAGGGTTGCCAGGTCTGGGTTGGAAAATACCTGGAGACTTTGGGGGTGGAGCCAGGAAAGGGTGGGGTTTGGGGAGGGGAGGGGCCTCAGCATGGTACAAGACCATAGAGTCCACCCTTCAAAGCAGCCATTTTCTCCAGGGGAGCTTATCTCTGTCAGCTGGAGATCAGTGGTAAAAGCGGGAGATCCCCAGGCCCCACCTGGAGGTTGGCAACCCTATCACCACCTCAGGTTTAAAATCTGACAAACCGAGGGACCTGCAAGAGTCATGGGCGGGTTGATCACATCGACCACACTGATCCCTCTCTCTTTCCAACTGTTCCCCACTCCACCCATTTTCCACTTTCTTTCTTGTCAGCCCTCTTCCCCCATTTCTCACTGACCTTCCCAGACTTTTCTCCTTGGTTTTTTGTCTCTATTCCCAGCCCTTTCTCTTCTTCCTCCGCTTTTCCTCCTGCCCGTTGCTACTGCAACCTGCAGTCACTCTGGAGTTGTGTAAGGCCAGGCTGCACTGCCTCAGTGGCTGGGCAGTCCCACAGGACTGAAAGAGATTTCACAAGATTTTGTGAGATCTCAGCCTGTGGTCTCAATTTCGGGAAATTGTAAACCCCCTCGCCATTTTTATTTTTTAGTTTGGGGTTTTCCCTCAAGCATATTGAATAATCCCATCTGGGCAAGGCCCTGTTCTGCAGATTGTTTGATCTGCATTCTGGGGCTATTGTTCAGAAATTGATATATCCCTATTTCTCCCCCCCCTTTAAGGAAACTCCTCTTTGAATATGTTTTTGGCCAGACCAGTGTCATCTTGTGGCAGCCGTATCTTCGCTTTGCATCATGCAAGAACTGTTCCGCAATCCAACCTCGGACTGCAGTTGAGGCAATGCAACATCATTACATAATGGTTTTGGGGACATCGTGACGCAAAGGCCTTGGCAATGACCCACAACCTGCGCCTTTCAGAATTAGCAGACTAGCCTCGGACTCAATTCTGATCGAACATGCCACCTCCTAGAGCCTAGGAAAAAATTAACAGCTGGACATGTTCCAAGGGTGTTGGCCGGGACACGTGTCTTTTTCCATTCTGTTGTGCAATGATGCGTCACGGCACATGGGGTTCCAGCCCTGCCCAAGAGCCAAATCTCCCCCTTCCCTGTCTGGCTTAGAACAAATAGGCATTTTGGGTGCCTTCAGCAAGTCAAGGCTGCCACTAAGCAAATTTAAAGTCCTGATGCACTCATTTTCTCAACACTGCCCCACGACAACCTATCCTGAAGGAGCTCTAAGGCCTTTTCAGATTCTGGCCATTCCTGTATCACAAATCTGAACTGGCTGTACCATCCCCATGGAGTCTTCGGAACTCTAGTTGTGTAAGGTCTCTAACAACATCCTCTATTAAACTACAGTTCCCAGGATTCTTTGAGGTTAGCCATGGCCGTTAAACTGGTATAAAGCCAGTGTGTGTGTCACTAGTGTCATTTGAGTGCCTGTATGTGCTGGGTTCCTGCATTAATATTGCAGGACCACAAAACCCAGCTCTCCTGTGAAGGAAGGATCATCCTATGGTCAAATGCAATGGGCTAGCTGTTGCTGTTGCCCAACCCTCCAAGGGGACACAAAGTAATTGGAAGCTTCTAATAACATTTCCAGGAACAACCTGCACCCGGAGAGCATATTGCTGGGGTACATGTTGCACTTTGGAAGCACCCCTTGGATTTAATCAGTGAATGGCCAGGCTTTCGCTATACCAGACCATTCAGCAAGGCCAGATCCAAAAGCATTGATGCCTAAGGTGGAAGATCCAAACGGGACCATGTTTATGTACAGCTCTGGAGCCTGAGCAGGAGAACCTTCTGTCAGGTAGTTTCTCTTGGTTGTCCAGATCTGTCTGGGTCTCACTTTGCTGAAGATCTGCTGCCTTGGTGTAATGTATCCAGTCCAGACAAGTCCTTTGGCAGGGTTGCCGCAGGCCCTTGGCACAGAGCTCCTTCTGTATATCCTTCTTGGTTTCTTCCTTCTCTCTGAGAGGTCTAAATACTTGGGGTTCCGGTTTCTAAACTCATGAGTTACCGGTAGGTCGCGAGCTGCCCCAGAGTGGCTGGGGCCTCCCCCAGAAGACCCGAGAAAAGATCACAAAGAGTTCTACTCTTATTTATATTTATTTATTTATTATATTTATACCCCGCCCATCCTGCGAGCAGACTCAGGGCGGCTAACAAAGCGGTACAATGTACCTAATTGGCATACCCATAAAAGTCTTAAAACTATATAAAACCAGAGGTCATTTCGGGGGGGAACGCGGGGGATCGCAATTCCCCTGGGTGAGGTACGGGGGCGGGGCACATGATGAAGCTCCGCCCCCTGCTTCCGGCCGCCCCGCTTCCGGCCCTCATTCAGCCAGGAGGAGGCAGGAGAAGAGGGAGGGTAAGTTGCTTCCTCCCTGCCTCTCCCCACCCCTGCCTGCCTGGGGCCAGGGAGGGCCTTCGCGGGGCTTCCTTGCACTCCCGCCGGCCTTGCAGGTCCACCGCCGGGCCCCTCATGGGGCTCGGCAGTGGAGCTGCAAGGCCATGGCGGCAGCCGGGACCGTTGGGGGCGGGGTGTGTGACCTTATGACACACTTCCGGTGATGTCATGGGGTGTGGCCTTATGACAGACTACCGGTGATGTCAGGGGGTGTGGCATATGCTAATGAGTTATGCTAATGAGTCCCCCTAGCTCTTTTTCTACGAAATGACCCCTGTATAAAACTACATAAAACATAGTCAAAACATAAATTAACAATTAACAGTAAAGTGCATACAGTACTGAAGATTCGATGGCGTGCTTCCAGATCTCAATCTGCGTTATTCATCCAATCATCATCCCTCGCGCCGATAGGCCTAGCGATATATCTGGGCCAGGCCTAGGATCCGAGCATTCACTAGGATCATTGGTGGTAACAATAGTGGCGGCTCCTATTGAAAGGCTTGGCGGAAAAGCTCCGTCTTACAGGCCCTGTGGAACTGTAGAAGGTCCCGCAGGGCCCTGATCTCCTCCGGGAGCTCGTTCCACCAGTAAGGAGCTGCCACAGAAAAGGCTCTGGTCCTGGTACTGGTGAGCCTTGCATCCTTGGGGCCCGGAATAGTCAATTGATGTTGGGCCCCAGACCGTAGTGCTCTCTGGGGTATAAAGGCGGTCCCTCAGGTAGGTCGGTCCCTGGTCATGTTGGCTTTTGAAAAACCCTTTTATTTCACAGGATTTGTTTCTGTGCTGCTTAGATGATAGTTTCATTTCTGGGAGTCTTCCTTGTCCATATTCTTTTTTTCTGGGATAGAACAAAACTTAATAATGTGCTGGGGGGGATAGTAGCTTGGGATATTTTTCATTACTCAGAAGTAGCTCTCAAGAAAGAAGCGGTTGGAGACCCCTGCTATAGGTGATTTTCAATCAATTGGGTTATTCACTTCCTCTCCCACCCCCTATCCTGGCTAGAGAGTGGAGGGAAAACCACTTTGAAATGGGGTGCTTTTTTGTGGGGGCATTACTGGATTGCAGAACGCACCTTTTGGTAACCGGGGAGTTTGGTTGACCTTGGAGTAAGGAGACGGTTGTCCTGGATGGAAGATCGTTTCTCTTTAGGGGGTTCATTAAATAGGAAGCCTTAGATTGGCTCTTTACGTCAATGGTCAGCTCCAGGAAGGGTTAACTGTGCAGGAGAGCCAACCTTGACTGATTGCCCATCTCTGTGCTGCCCCTACAGCCAGCAAATCAGCGAAGGCAGTGTCCACCCTCCACCGCCACCCACTTCTGCTCAAAAGGAGCTGTTCCCCGATAGCTCGGTCTCTACACATAGCTCTCTCTTGGGCACAGAGGGCCTTGTAAAATGTCTCAACACAGGGTGCAGGGTGGCGATCTCCAAAACAACCTGATCTTGCTCTCGCACAACAGGAAGGTCCCCTCCAGAATGTCCTCCCTCATGGAGATGAAGGAAATCTTCCAAAACGCGGACGCCGTTTGCTTTGACGTGGACAGCACGGTCATCCGAGAGGAAGGCATCGACGAGTTGGCCAAATTCTGTGGCGTTGGAGACGCAGTGGCGGAAATGTACGTATGCCTGTTGCTCACTTCCTTCTACAGAATGAAGACGGTGGGGATAGCAAAAGCATTCCAATATATCACTTGCCTGAATTGGGCTGTCTCTCACCTATTGGTGTACTTTGCTGGTTGTCACATTCTCTCAGATGCTGTGTCCTACCTTTGCCAAACCAGGTTGCCTAATTTTTCTGTAGACAGTGTGATCCCCCCACCCCCCAGGAGACCAGGTTGAAAAGTTGTGGCCATTTATTTTTTTTGTAAACTTGGGAAAGAGCTGTCTTCTTTTTCTTTCAGGTTGTCAGTGTGCCTCAAATGATTAACATAGTTATGGGTGGTTGAGGGGGGTTGCAAAACTGTGCTGGTTAGAGATTTTGGGACCTGTTGCCAAGACTGTGCAACTCAGAAGCAGTTTGGGCGCCTGTTGAGATTCCTTCCTGAGATAACAGCAAAGGTGAATCTGGCCAGCTGGGTTGTTGCAGGACTGGAAGTTGCTTGCCCGCAATGGAAACGTGAACTGTGCTCTCCTGCTTCTTTAGGTAGCACAGAAGCTTTAAAAAAGAAAGGAACGATAAGGAAATGATTAGAATGGAGTCAGGCACACCACGGAGTAAACATCACCCCACATCATTTGAAGTTGATCCGGTCACTTCACTCCCAATCTCTTCAACTAATCAGCACCGGTTGTCTGCAGATGATAGCTCTGAAGCCAATAACCTCCCCCACTTCAGCAGAGAGACTGAGGCCAAAGTCAGGGTAGAAACATATGGACAAACGTCTTTAAAATCATGATCCTGCCTGTTGTTTTATCTTTTTATTCCCTATTTTGGCTGTTGTTCTGTTTTAACTTGCTATTAAGCTTTCCTTGAATAATTTTCCTCCCACGAGACAAACCTTGGCTCCTCTGCTGGATCTTTTGTTGTTTCTCATGTTGTACAGTGCACAGAATGTTAGCCAGATTAAAGCAAGGGCATGTTTTTGCAATCAAGATTTGGTGGCTTTATCTTGGGGTTGTTTCATGAATGTTATTCTGAGAATAACCCCGGTTACTGTGTGTCTCTGGGGAAGGTGGAAATGCTATACTGTTGTATTCCTGATGGCTTATTCTGGGCTAAAATGAAATGATTCCATAATTGTGCCTGTAATTATGGCAACCAAGTGTGGTTAACTCTCTTCATTAGATTAGTGGGCCTGTTATCCTGGTATAACTGGTTGCAGAATGAGAGAGAGAGAGAGCGAGAGAGAGAGAGAGAGAGAGAGATCTTCTGAAAGGTTTGACCTAAATTTCTCTGGATCTTGATTTAGGACGCGCAGAGCTATGGGCGGTTCAGTAACGTTCAAGGCAGCTTTAACGGCACGGCTGGGCCTCATCCGCCCATCCTACGAGCAGGTGCAGAAGCTAATATCAGAGCATCCACCTCAGTTAACTCCAGGAATAAGGTAAGATGCCTTAGAACTAGATCAAGATGGGTAGCCATGTTCATCTGTCCGTAGCAGTAGAAAAGAGCAAGAGTCCAGGAGCACCTTAGCAACTAGCACAATTTGTGGCAGGGGATGAGCTTTTGTGAGTCACTGCTCACTGATGTCTGAGTGACTCACGAAAGCTCCTCCCCTTCCACAAATTGTGTTAGTCTTTCAGATGCTACTGGACTCTTGCTCTTTCTTATTGCCTTAGGACTGGTTGCATTGTCCCAGGATGACGAGACATGGGAATCAGTGCCATATCGATTTGTTCATATTAATCATGAAGGCTTGGCAGTAGGTTGAGGAACATAAAACACAGGCCGTGTTGAAACAGTGCCCCCCACCATTGAAAGTAGAAGCAGGATGGCTTAATTTTCAGCGGAGAAAATCTGTATCTGTGTCTCCTTTTCATTATCTTCCTTTGGCGTATTTACAAAGCGAAAAGATCCAAGGAATAGTTTCAAGGGTTGGATTTCAGTATAAAAAGCAATTGGGTAGCAGTGTGGGGAAAGCGCAGAAGCCGCTGCACCAGGATCTAATACAATTTCAACTATTTGGGCCATAGGGGCTCCCATTAAGTTGGGCCCCAGTTTGCTAGGCCTCATGGGTTCCAGAGAAAACCTTTGAAACACAGAACTGGAAGGAACCGAAAGGGAAGCTAGTCCAGCCGCCCCAAAGCCAGGCCTGTAGCCAGGATTCTGTGGCTTGTGGGGCAAAAATGTTGCTGGTGGGGCTGCCATTATTTGTCATAATGAAGGGGGTGGCACGCACCCCTCTCCCTCCCCTCCTGCAAGATTTAAAGGGCCCTCCAGCTGATTGATGGGCCATGCGCTCCCTGCCAATCAGCTGAGGGCCCTTTACATCTTGCAGGAGGGGAGGGAGAGGGGCACGTCCCACCCCCAGCTTCTTCTCAAAAGCATTTAAAGGATCCCTTTAAATGCTTTTGGGGAGAAGGGGACCGGCCCTTTAAGGAAGCCAGCCCAAGGCAGAACTGTCCATACATCGAGAGAGTGCGCTTGTTTAGCTGGCCCATTTACACACCTGAACCTGTGGTCCCTTTCATTTAATGAGCCCCCTTCTGTGTCCATTGCTGTATATGAACCCACAACATTTTCTGACTCTTTATTGTGCTTCTTATAAGTATGTGATAACGGCATTATGGAGGCGGGCGGGGGGAGGAAGCAGAAGATAGTCCCTTTCAGTGCAGTGACTGCATAAGCTCTTCTTCCAGGCTTGACATTTACCTTGACGGGCGGCCTTGGCCATTGTCTGTTCTTTTCCTCAAAGGGAACTGGTCAGCCGACTCCATCAGCGAGGCGTCCAGGTCTTCCTAGTCTCTGGAGGGTTCCAGAGCATCGTCGATCATGTTGCTATGCAGCTGAACATCCCAACAGCCAATGTATATGCCAATCGATTGAAGTTCTACTTTAATGGTAAGAGTGCCTGGATAGCAAATCAGGCTGTTGGATTCTCTTGGGAGTAATAAATATGGACCCCAGGAAACCAGGCTGACTGTGAATTTTTAATCAACAGCTATTACAGATTAATCTGTACTAAAGGCACAGCAAGAAAGAGTCACATGTGTAGGCTTTTTACATATAGGACCAGATCAAAATGTCCACCTTCCCCAAGATTCTTTAATTATTCCCCCCTGCTCAGCCAAGTCCTTTCTCCTCGGTCCAGAACTTAACCCACAACTGCTCCTTTGATGTGTCCTTTGTTTGCCTGTAATCCTCAGTCAACAAGCAGAGATTAGTTTCACATTGGGAACTCTTGCCTGAAAGTTGCACACCATCCCGTTTTCCATACTCCCGCCCCCCCCAGAAACTGATAAACAGAGCTTAGCAACTTTTATGATGGCAAGAGAAAAAGAATTCTGAAAGAGCCCTGACCTGGATAGTCCAGGCAAGACCAATCTCGTCAGAACTTGGTAGCTAAGCAGGGTTGTCTTTGGCAACTACTTGGATGGGAGACCTCCTTGGAATACCAAATGTCAGGAGACGGGGGCAGGCTTTATTCAGCCACCTCTCTGAATATCCTCCAAGCCCCCAGGAGGTGTCAGTCACCAGAGGTGACTTCCAGGCAGGGCTATTTTTGGGCAGGAACGCACAGGAACGGAGTTCCGGCTGGCTCCCAAGTTGGCCACGCCCAGCAGGAACTCATTAGCATAATAGGCCACACCCAACAGCAGGAACTCATTAGGATTGGCTACATTAGGGGTGTGTGTCCTAACATGCAAAGGAGTTCCTGCTACAAAAAGGCAACAAACAAGGTAAACAGAACAACAAACAAGGTAAACAGAATAAGAAGCAAAAGGTGGGTGTGGCTGGATAACCACACTTCTGGTAACATGGGGGTGCGGCCTAATGTGCTAATGAGCTGTGCTGTCAGGGGTGTGGCCCAATATGTGAATGAGTTCCTGTTGTTGGGTGTGGCCTATTATGCTAATGAGTTCCTGCTGGGCTTTTTCCAGTTCCAGTATGGAAGCAGCAGCTGAAAAAGCCGTCCTATGTATCCCACAAAACTCACCTCAAATAAGGTTAGTTCCTGCAGGAAGGCGGCATCACTGAAGCTCTGAGCCACTCTGGGGCTTTAGAGGACAAGGCCAGCACCTTGAACTGAGCCCGGAAGCCGGTTGGCAGCCAGGGCAACTGATATATCACTGGCGTGGTGAATCATGACCATCAGTGAATACTCTTCCTGCCTTGCTTTGCGCCAGGTGAGGCTTCCAAACTAGCTTTAGGGCAGCCCCATGTAGAGTGCAGTACAGTAATCTAGCCTAGATAGTTATCAAAGCATGCGTAACCGTGATCAGGTCCATTTCCTCCAGGAATGGCCAGTGCTGGCATATCAGAATACAGTAGTTAAAAGCACTCCTCAATCACCTGCTTATCCAGGCAGAAAGAAGCATCCAGAAGTATCCCCAAGCCGGGCACTTGCTCCCCCAGACACCTAGAACAAGCCAAACACCAATTTCCACACCAGCTTTAGAAAAGAGCAAGAGTCCAGTATCACCTTAAACACTAACAACATCTGGGCAGGGGATGAGCTTTCGTGAGTCACTGCTCACTTCTTCAGGTCAAGTATCCGAAGAAGTGAGCAGTGACACACAAAACGTCAGGCCCTTCCACAAATATCATTAGTCTTTTGTGCTATTAAACCCAATGTAATAACATGGCTACCCCTCTGGATCCATACCAGTTTCATTAAGATTAATTTGTTTTATTTATTAAGCTTTATTAAGATTCATTTATTAAGATTCATTTTTTCCCACCCATATCTGGTCTTTCATTGGTTCCAGAGACTGAGAGACTGAGAGACTGAGTCAGAAAATACTCAGAGTTGGAGAGAGGTCGTGGAGTATATGAGCTAAATGGCCATCTCCAATATCACCATGCTTCAGGGGTCGAAAAGAGCTGAGGACGTTCCAGGACGTTCTAAGTTTACTGAGCCAGGGCTCAAATCCAGCCAACGCTTAGCCCCAGAGCTTGCTTTGTAATCAACCATGTTTGTGATGTAAAACTTGCTTCTGACCATGGGCAGAGTATCTGAGTATTCATGGCAAGGAGACTGAGTTCTCCATCAAAGAAGATATTATCTAATGCTTGCGTCTTTATGCACTAAGCACTGTTCTGAAACCCTTGCAGCAATCCACAGCAGCTCAGAGACACTGCACAGCTGCCATGACTGAATTTCTCTTTGCGGCGTGCATCTCTCTAGGGCAGTGGTGGTGAACCTATGGCATGGGTGCCAGAGGTGGCACTCAGAGCACTCTCTGTGGGCACGTGTGCCATCGCCCTAGCCAGGGCCAGACCATCATTAAAGTGTCGAATTCTCTGCCAAATAATTTTAAGTAAATGAAAGCATTTGGGATTGCTTTCCTTACTTTGTTTGGATCATCTTAAATTAACGTATAAGTGTTTTTCCCCACGGCTCTTTTTGTAGAAAAAACCCATCAGGAACTCATTAGCATAATTGGCCACACCCAACAGCAGAAACTCATTAGCATATTAGGCCACACCCCTGACAGCACAGCTCATTAGCACATTAGGCCGCACCCCCATGTTACCAGAAGTGTGGTCATCCAGCCACACCCACCTTTTGCTTCTTATTCTGTTTACCTTGTTTGTGGTCAAAACCCAGGGCCTTTTTTTGGAGCAGGAACTCCTTTGCATGTTAGGCCACACACCCCTAATGTAGCCAGTCCTAATGAGTTTCTGCTGTTGGGTGTGGCCTATTATGCTAATGAGTTCCTGCTGGGCATGGCCAACTCGGGAGCCAGCCGGAACTCCGTTCCTGTGCGTTCCTGCCCAAAAATAGCCCCGTTTTTTTCTAAAGTAAAACCTCAGTATTCAGGTTAAATCTCCGTGTTGGCACTTTGTGATAAATAAGTGGGTTTTGGGTTGCAGTTTGGGCACTCGGTCTCTAAAAGGTTCGCCATCACTGCTCTAGGGGAATATGCAGGCTTTGATGAGACGCAGCCGACAGCCGAGTCGGGCGGCAAAGGAAAAGTAATCAGCTACCTCAAGGAGCAGTTTCAGTTTAAGAAGGTGGTCATGATTGGAGATGGAGCGACAGACATGGAAGCCTGCCCCCCTGCGGTGAGTATTCCAGTTTGTTTATTACAGGGTTCTCCATGGAGGTCAAGTAGATGCAGATGCCAGTGAACCTGCTGGCTGAAGACTCGGATACAGTTCTAGCATTAAAAAAAAAAATCATCACGTGTGTGTGGGGGCCCGAATTCGAATCATGACCACAGTGTGGATGGAGGCGAAATTGAAGCCTTTCCCACCTGCGCCATTTTCCTATCCTGAAAAGGACCTGGGGAGCTGCCAGGTGAAGAAGGCACGGGGAGGGGAGTTTAAACTTAATGCTGTAGTCCTGGTACAAATCAGGTTTCTGCCTATCCTGTTTTTGAAAATAATAAATAATAAAAATAATACTGAGAGTTAGGTTCATGGAATTCCAAGCATCACGTATAGCTGAACCTGTTGGGCTCTGAACCTGGTTCTTCCCAGTCCAACTATTCCTGGCTATCCACCTGACCACACTGGCTCACAGAACCTATCCAAAAGTGGACTCCCTAATAGCTGGCTCTTTCTGGCATCAGACAGCACTTGTTGTTGTTGTTCAGTCGCACAGTCGAGTCCGACTCTTCGCGACCCCATGGACCAGCTCCCGCCAGGCCCTCCTGTCTTCCGCCGTCCTTTGAAGTTTGCTCAGTTTCATGTTCGTTGCATCTATGACACTGTCTAACCATCTCATCCTTTGCCTTCCCCGTCTTCTTTGACCTTCAATCTTTCCCAGCATCAGGGTCTTCTCCAGGGAGTGCTCCCTTCTCATTTGGTGGCCAAAGTATTTGAGCTTCAGTTTCATTATCTGGCCTTCCAGGGAACAGTCAGGGTTGATTTCTTTTAGGACTGACTGATTTGACCTTCTTGCCGTCCAAGGGACTCTCAGACAGCACTAGACTTGAGCAAAGCCATGCTTCCACAAAAAGAGAACGGACATCTCATCCATGTCTTCCACTGGGAGACAGAATTGCCCATTCATCAGTATCGTTCTCCCTGACAGTTATCTGCTCAGTCTGTATTTAGTGTGCTGTAAGCAGATAGCAAAAATCCTACAGAAAGGGGATAAGTCAAGCAGCTCCAGATGACTCAGGTCAGAGAGCCATGTTGCATATTGCTGTTAAAGGCTTTTTCTCTAGCCGCTGCCAGTCTCTCCCAGAGAAGCGATGCCTTCCAAACCCCTAACAGGACAATCAGCTAGACCTTGGGTTGCCAACCTCCAGGTGTGGCCTGGAGATCTCCCGCTATTATAGGCGATCCCCAGGTGATAGAGATCAGTTCTCCTGGAGAAAATGGCTGCTCTAGAGGGTGGACTCCATGGCACTGTACCCTGCTGAGGTCATGTCCTACCCCAAACTCCATCCTCTCCAGGCTCCACCCCCTCGAAAGCTCTAGGAATTTCCCAACCTGGATCTGGCCACCTTAGCTAGACCCACTGAGCACAAGCAAAATCAATCCATTGTGTTATCTGAAAGAAAATTTTTATCGACGTCAGCAGGACCATCCAGTGTGGCGACACCTGAGGAAGTGGGAGGAAATCCCCTAAGATCACACGCAAGAGTGAAATGCAGTAGCGAAAACCCTGGGCAGTTCCGTAGCCTGCAGGCCCAATGCTTGCCCCTGGTTAATGATTTCGCCTATCGGTTAATGATTATTTCTGATATCTCCCAGGGGAGGTGAACGAGGCCAAAACGAATATGTCAGGGAGGCCAGCCAAGTCAGGAGCGGGGATTAAGAAACAAACTCCTTCTGGAGTTCATGGTTGAACAAGGATACGTGCCAGCAAGAACAGGAGGGCTTCTGTACTCAAGATGTTTTTCTTCCCTACAAAAAGAATACCTGCATATAACTGGTGCACCATAAACATGTGTCAATCACAGTACAATCTGTCCTGCCTTGATTAAGCACAGTCGGGAGCTTCTGAGTCTCCCAAGCTCTTGTAACTGGGTAAAAACAAGCACGTGTATTCAATTGAGGCAGAGGCAAGGGTCTCTTCTAAAAGGGCACATTCTGAGCATGTCTGCTTAAGCTGGCCTAACTCCCAGGCTTCTCTCCCCCCACCACCCTTCCTGAAACCTGGGAACTGTAGTTCTGTGACAGGGGATGGCCTAATGGGGGTCAGTCATAAAATATGAAACAGCAGACTTTTGAACCTTGCAGTTGTGCAATTCTCAGGGTTCCTTGGGAGACGCAAGGGCAGCTAAACTGGATTAATTACATTTGTATTACATTGGTTCTTGGTTACATTTGAATGTTATATAATGACATTATATAATTACATTATATGTTATATAACTACATTTTATTCTGTCCTCCTTGTATTTCGTGGCTGCTTGGCCCTGCTGTTTATTTTATTTTTCTAACGTTGCCATCCACCATTACTTTGCATCTGACAAAGCGGGCACAAAAATATATGCTGGAATAAAATCTTGTTAGTTTGAAAGTGCTCTAGACCCCTTTCATTTTTGCTCCCGCAGAATTTGATTTAGGCTTACAGCCACTGAAAAGTCTAAATAAGGAAGGGCATTTGCCAAAGCCTGGCAGAATGATTCTTCTATATACAAAGACTGCTTGGTTTATTTTATGTATTTAAAAAATGTGCAGATACTGCCTGTGCCCTTTTCGCCTGGCAGCTCCCCAGGTCCTTTTCAGGATAGGACAATGGCGCAGGCAGAAAAGGCTTCAATCTCACCTCCATCCACACTGTGGTCATGATCCGAATTCAGGGCCCCAGACACGTGATGGTTTTTTTTAAAAAAATGCTTGAACATCTGTATCTGTGGGCACTTACTAGATGCAACTTAAACCAAGGAAGATGTACTTTTGCTAGAAAAGAGATTTATAGAAATATCAAGAAACAAGGGTAACACAGTCAAAACTGCTGCGTCTGCACGAACGATGCGAGGAATAGATTATGTTGCACCAGGAAAACGTTACTTTTGAGAATGCACACAATGGAATTTGGAATGACTCTTTGATCATGGGCATGATCCTTGCAAACCAGTTCCCAAAACCCCATCATGCTTTCTGGAAACATTTGCACGAATCCACTTGATTAGTTAATGTAGCTCATTAACAGCTAGTTCATTGTCTCTGAATAGTCTTTTGATACTCAAACTCCAGATCACTCTCATTATTTGCAGATCCCTGGCAAAACGTAAGCGACAGCCCATATTCTGGAGCTCTTCCAAAGGGGCAGAGGATGCTTCTACATCCAGCCACCCTGCTCTGCACCCCCCTCCACCCCCACCCCTGTGCCAGAATCAGGGTCTTTCACCCCTGACTTGGAATCCTGAGATCCATTGCAGAAATTACCATGCTGTCCCTTTCTGCTTCTGCAGGACTGTTTCATTGGATTTGGAGGCAACGTAGTGCGGAAACAAGTAAAAGAAAAGGCCAAATGGTACATCACTCACTTCGATGAGCTGCTGAAAGAACTGGAGGAGCGATAAATTATAGCAAAAACTAGTCTTATTTTATTAACATTTGTCATACATAGATGTATAGCAATGCAATTAAACATGTTCTTATTGTTGTTTGCAAATAGAGGCGTTTGGGCTTTTCATTTATGGCAGGCCCCCATCCTTGGAAGTGGTGTTTGTTTAAAGTGCGGTGAATGTCACTCACAAGGTGTTGCAGTGGAAAATGGCTCCATCACACACATACCATCCTTCATGGTTTTAGATTCACTGGTATGGTACAGCCAGGAATCTCTACACATAGCAGTGCACTAGGCTACACGCAGCAGCAGATTCTTGGTACCGTGTGTGCCAGCAAGGTTATAGAGTTACATGGGGCCACTTCAAACTAATACAAATCCTTTATTCAAGGAACTACATTCTAGATAGTGCAGGCTGAGAGGCAGGAAAAGAATCTAACTAGCTAGATGGATGCAGATGGAGAATGCCTGTCCTGCATCTATGATGGTAACGATAGATATCGTGCCTCCTTCTTTGTGTGTGCGAGAGAGAAGTGTCAAGCCAGAAAGAAGGAAGTCTCATCCCTAAGATTAGCATTCTACTTCAAAGGATAGTATCAGATAGCAGGAAGGAAAGGATGATCTACGCGTCCTGACCTCTCTGTCTCTAAATCTATGGTGCTGTCTCTCTGAAGGCTGAGGCAGGGGACAGTGTATGCTCCTCCACTTCCACCACTTGGATGGGGAAGCCTTGCCTCTGTTGAAGCCATTGGGATGAGGATGGAGGCAGGATTTTACCAGGAAAGTACCATTTGCGCCCATTTCTAAAAACAAAAGTCTGAGGCTTCAGCCACCTTCTCCAAAGCCGCACTGCCTGATCTCGAAGCCTTGCCCATTAATCTCAGATGGAAAGGAATGGGCAGTCATTACCCCACAGTAGCCAAAATGTTCTCTGCACATGCTCAAAGGGGCTGGTTTAATTAATACTTATAAGCTGCAATTCTGTGGCCTAATGTTTAAACATTAGATTCCCTTGCTGAGTCCTGGCTTAGATTGACTCCTCCTCCTTCTGCTGGTATTTAATACTCTGCAAAAGCAGCCCACTGGAGGTTGCTTTATGAGGAAAGGGAATGGCATGGGTGGTGGGAGAGACAGAAGAATAAAAATGTTAACTGTTTCCTCCCTGGACTTTCCCTGCTAGGAAAAGCCACCCCAGCTGCTGGGAAAACATACTAGGGACCATTTTTCCGCCTCAACAGGGGTAAAAGTAGCTCAGGGATGGCTTTTTCCAGCAAGAAACAGCGGGGGAGGGAAGTTTCCTCCTCTCCTGGCACCATTCTTTTCCTCGTTGAAGCAATCCCCAACAGCTACATCTGCAAAAGAAGAAGATGTTGTTCAAAATAAACACAGAATAAACTGTATGTTGTGTACCAAGGGAGACTGCTCACACGGTTGGGCTCACACGTGGCCATGCGGACAGGTTAAGCTTCACATCCAAAGATGCAAAATGGTGGGAGCGGGGATAAGCAAGAGCTGGAACAGAGAAGTAAGGAGATGCAAAGATGCTCAGTGGGACACAGGAGGCAGGAAGAGGGAAGGGACAGGCGATAACAGCGGATGGGAGGCAGGGGAAACAGGAGAGGCAGGGCTATTTCTGGGCAGGAACGCACAGGAACAGAGTTCCGGCTGGCTCCCAAGTTGACCACGCCCACCAGGAACTCATTAGCATAATAGGCCACACCCAATAGCAGAAACTCATTAGGATTGGCTACAATTAGGGGTGTGTGGCCTAACATGCAAAGGAGCTCCTGCCACAACAGAATAAGAAGCAAAAGGTGGGTGTGGCTAGATGACTATACTTCTGGTAACATGGGGGTGCAGCCTAATATGCTAATGAGCTGTGCTCTCATGGGCGTGGCCTAATATGCTAATGTGTTTCTGTTGCTGGGTGTGGCCTATTATGCTAATGAGTTCCTGCTGGGCTTTTTCTACAAAAAAAGCCCTAAGGAGAGGAAATAAGAAATGAACTTCTGCAGGAGGGGAGGGAAACACGTGCCTGTCTTTCTGTACATTGTTCTGCAGGCTTGGAGCTAGCCCTATAAAGGCCAGGCACAAGCCACAGTTGTCCTTGTGACCCTTGTGGATGGTGTTCTTCAGCCGGGCCTCCGTATTAGAGACATGGGAGAGCATCAGATCACAAAAGGCTTAAGGATGAGAACCAGCCCTTTGACTTGGGGTTCTTAGAGATAAAAAAAGAGGGCTGGCATTCACTGGCCACTGCAGCGTTAGGCCAGATCTCCAAAAGTTTCCATCCTTGCCACCCCACCCTGAAGTTCTTACTCTCCCTCTACAAACCCAATTTTAACATTGTTGCAAATACTCAGGCTGTGTGCCTGCTGTTTGCTTTCCCTAAAGGTCAGAAGTTTTTTCCATGTCCTCTGAGAGCCACTTCGGTGTACTGGTTAAGTGCGCGGACTGTAGTCTGGGAGAACCGGGTTTGATTCCCCACTCCTCCACTTGCACCTGCTGATATGACCTTGGGTCAGTCACAAGCTCTGGCACAGCTGTTCCTGAAAGAGCAGTTTGTGTCAGAGCTCTTTCAGCCCCACCCACCTCATAGGGTGTCTGTTGTGGGGAGGGGAAGGGAAAGGAGTTTGTAAGCCGCTCTGAGACTCCGAGTGAAGGGCGGGGTATAAATCCAATCTTCTCTTCTCTTCTTCTTCTTCTTCTTCTCTGGTTCAAGGGATGCCATAGAAAGCTCTCTGGATTTCTGGATGTTGCTCTTAAGCAAAAATCTTTTGGCACCTGGAAACTGTAAAGCTGCTGTAACTCGGGTTAGAAGAAAGTGAACATTCCTGTGCAGTGAAAGCCTTTTACAGTAGCATCCTCTTGCCGAATCCTAGTGCTCTGCTGAAACAATAGCAGTACTGTGCGGGAGCCAAGGAACTTGAGACATGCCAGAGTTTCTCTTAGGGAGAATGTAAAAGGGGGCCCTTTTCTACAGGAACCAAAGCATTGTTGAGTTGTGGGGCTGAAATCAGGACTCCGTTTTAACCAGTTCTAACTCAGAGTGCTGGTGGTGCTCACCCTCGGAAGACGTGAAGTACAAATAATGATCCAAGAGCATTTCTTTCACTGCTAAGTGCGCCACAACCCGCCACAAGGATTGAAACAAGCAGAGCAGGGGGAACAGAAATATCTTACGCTCCCCAAAGACTACGACCCAATGAAACTAATTGGTGGCAGGCTCAGAGGAGGAACGAATTAGCATGCAATTCCTAGTCACAAGATGTGGCAAAGTGGGCTGCTTTAGGTGGCTTCAAAAGGATTTGAGAAATTAATAAAAGGAATTAGTATAATTAATACATGCCAAAAGGGAGCCAACCATCCCCCAGGGAGCATTCCTCCAAGCTCAGGAGCCCCCAACGGAAGAGCCACCTAAGCTGGAGGAAAGCTTCAAACTTGGCTCAGTGGACTGGTAGGACGGGTAGGACCCACCCCGTTATCAATGCTATAAGTGAAAATAGAAATGTCCTTGCCTCTGCTGAGCTTACCATCTCGAAAGCGGGAGAGACAACAGGACAGGAAAGAATGAAAACGAGAAATGAATTTACACATAATAAATTTGGTTACAGACAGGCCTATTAAGAGCTTAAGCCAAGGTCTCAGAGAAAAATGGATTTTGAAGAGGGATGTGAAGGAAGACAGAGAGGTGACACTCCAGACATGTCTAAGCCGAACAGAACCTCCACATCCAGAGGCAGCATACCTCTGAGCACCTGATGCTGAGGACCAGGGCTTTTTTTGTAGAAAAAGTCCAGCAGGAACTCATTAGCATATTAGGCCACACCCCTGACTGTACCACTCATTAGCATATTAGGCCGCATTCCCATGTTACCAGAAGTGTGGTCATCCAGCCATGCCCACCTTTTGCTTCTTATTCTGTTTACCTTGTTTGTTGTCAAAACCCAGGGCTTTTTTTGTAGCAGGAACTCCTTTGCATGTTAGGCCACACACCCCTAATGTAGCTAATCCTAATGAGTTCCTGCTGTTGGGTGTGGCCTATTATGCTAATGAGTTCCTGCTGGGCGTGGCCAACTTGGGAGCCAGCCGGAACTCCGTTCCTGTGCGTTCCTGCCCACCCAAAAAAGAGGCCGTCTTCCTCATGGCCTACTCAGGCATTTGGCCAATGCTGGAGGCAGAATGCTGAGCAAGATGGACCTCTGGGTATAATTAATGATTTCCTGCCCCAAATGTTTATGCTTGTAATTATTAATGCTTGTCATTGGGACAGGGATCAGCTGAATCACATGCCTCAGTTAGTATCCTATTTTTCCAGCAAGGTGCTGCTTTGGAATGAGCAGGGCTATTTTGGGGCAGGAACGCACAGGAACGGAGTTCCGGCTGGCTCCCGAGTTGGCCACGCCCAGCAGGAACTCATTAGCATAATAGGCCCAACAGCAGAAACTCATTAGGGTTGGCTACATTAGGGGTGTGTGGCCTAACATGCAAAGGAGTGTTTGACAACAAACAAGGTAAACAGAATAAGAAGCAAAAGGTGGGTGTGGCTGGATAACCACACTTCTGGTAACATGGGGGTGCGGCCTAATGTGCCAATGAGCTGTGCTGTCAGGGGTGTGGCCTAATATGCTAATGAGTTTCTGCTGTTGGGTGTGGCCTATTATGCTAATGAGTTCCTGCTGGGCTTTTTCTACAAAAAGAGCCCTGGAATGAGTACTGTGTAATCCAGCTGGTCCCCCATAGGAAGTCAATTACAGCCCTGTGGGCAGATGTCTGGGACTCCAACCATGAGAAAGCATACTTTGATGACAACCGTCTGCTATTGCAACATTTGAATCAGGCCTGTCTAAGCCAGCAAGGCCTTTCTTATGCTGTCTTGCTTAATCACTGAATCTGAATTTATAAGTTTTTAAAACGTCTCTATTTTCATTCAGGAGTTATAAAGGCAAAGGTGTAGACTGCACATTTCCCCTTATAACTCTGCAAGGAAAAGTGCTAGAGACTTCTTTTAAAAACATGAAAACTGGAAAGTAGTAGATCATGGTAACAGATCATTATACTGTTCTGACACTATAGCGATTTAATGATTCCTGATTTTTTTTTTATTTAAAAGCCATCTGGTGAAAGGGGGAAATGCTGGCCACAAGGGGCTGTGGCAAGGAAAGTACAAGAGGTGGTGTGTTAATGCTCCAGTGAAGTAATGAAAGCTATACAGAGAACTGTCAGTGTGTGGAAACAGCCAAAGGCTTCAGGTCAGAGAGTACACTTGCAGCCAAGTTAATCGATTCCACCCAACTAAAACAACAGGCTAGACAGCCAGAAGATGTTCAGGAGCACACATGAAACTGTTGCTCCCCTTGCAGTTCTGAGAATTGTTTTTCTGAAATTCACAATGATATGTTACTCTAATTTCCCAGTAGTTCTCCTCCCACTGGTACAGGAAAATCCAGTGTCATTGTGCAAGGTGGCCATTTTTCCTAATTCTTCACTACTACCTCTGTTGCTCTCATGGAATGCCCAGAAACTAGATTCTGGCTGGCCCCAAATGTTCTGATGGGTGGAACATCCAAATGGCACCTAGATGCACAACACACACAGACTGTGATACCACCAGCCTGTCTTACAGCACTTTTGAGTTACTGAGATAATACATATCAAATGCTTTGAGCACTTGAAATGTGCTTATGCAGTGCTAAGTATTATTTCTAATAATAATAATAATAATAATGTCTGAAGCAGAAGACTTAGCCATTCCAAAACTGTGCTGCAAAGTCCATGTTTGGTTTGCCGAGCCTCCATCCAAACCCTCTCAAAATAAATTGGGACTTTTGAGTTTTAATTGCCGTTCGGAAGGGGGGCCTGCAAGGGGATCTGTGGGGAATTTGCAAGACAACCAGCACCAGTTTGCTGGTCTGGAACATTTTAAAATATAACAACTGATTTTTTTAGAGATGGGAAATGGTGTTGGAGATGCGAAATGAGGAAGTAAGAGAGTTCATTAGGCCTGCATGGGAAAATTCCATGACTGACAGGCAAAACAAACATCCAGCCGTTGGAGTCAGAGTAGAATGTGCTTGGAATACATTTCAGAGGTATTGTTTGCACATGGGGAATTGTCAGGTGAGGTTACTTAAACTCTGCCTTTATTCCCAGAGAGCCATATTCACATCCCAGCTATCCCCATGTTCAAAAGGGCTTCCATTTGGCTCAGCTAACTGGCTCAAAACAAAATAAAACAAAGACAAGACACTGGAGGTTAGGTTTGTTGGTTTCTTCCCAATGGGAGATTGGGAAACTGACCATACCATACGCCCTTCTAAGTTCACTAAAGTCAATGGGCTTAGAAGGGTGTTACTGCTTAGGAGAGCATCACAAGTTTTCTTTCATGTGCTATCCCTATGTATATCTGACAGCTAAACAGTACTGGTTAAGTGCGCAGACTCTAATCTGGGAGAACCGGGTTTGATTCCCCACTCCTCCACTTGCACCTAGCTGGATGACCTTGGGCAAGCCATAGTTCTGTCAGAGCTGTTCTTGAAAAAGAGCAGTTTCTGTCAGAGCTCTCTCAGCCTCGCCTACCTCACAGGGTGTCTGTTGTGGGGAGGGGAAGGGAAAGGAGCAGCTCTGAGACTCCTCTGGGTAGTGAAGGGCGGGGTATAAATCCAATCTCTTCTCTCTCTCTCTCGCTTCAGGTTGCTCAAATCTACACATGCAGTCTAATATACTTCCATAACCACCCCTCAAAGTTCTTGGCTTGTTACTCTGGCCCATACAACTTCTGTGTTCTGATGGTGCAGTGCCTAGCACATGAGTAATAATATCCAATTGCTCAGCTGTAATAACTATGGACCATCTGAATTAATTCTGTGCCATCTTAAATCTGATCAAATCCATACATTTGGATCCATAAATGAAGATTCAGGTTCCAACAGCCTGTACCTAAGATGTGAATGTAGAACTAGGCTGTGGTCAGACAATAGGTTTGGCGTGGTCTGGCCGCGCCTCTTATTGCACCGATTTCAGTTGTAGCGGGAAGGTTTGATCAGACATCATGCCCTGAATTGGCTGCACCACGTGCACAATCTGTGGCCAATCGTTCAGATTACTGATGGAGCGCGCTGTCTAGGTGGTTTTCTAAAAAATGTTCTGGGTGTGCTCATGTGCAGATCCCAAGGAAGAGGGGAGGGGGCTGAGATGGAACTGAATGTTCACACTTCCCAACCAGCTTGTAACGGGGATGTTCAGACATCCAGAAATGTGGCGTGAAAGTGTTAACATCCATAAAGACTGGACTTTTCCTGGTGCCTGGTAACCCCGCTTTGAAGTCAGGCCAGAATGGGCTGCCAACGACTGGAGAATGGGAGGCAGATGTTGCTGTCTGATCATGCACTTCAAATTCGGCAGGGAACAGCAACTGCATTGGATCAAACTGCTCGTCTGCCTGCAGCCCTAGAATCTTAATTTACACAGTATTGCTTCTTGGACTTTTGGCTACGATCAAGTGTGTCATTTACACAGTAACTTCCCAGCTAACTGAACTTTAAATTCGCTTAGGGATCAAAGCTCCCTTTGCTCTCTCCCAAAGCTTAATACCCTGAAACTCTGGTTTGAGGTACTAAAAAGGTAAAGGTTTCCCTTGCTCGAGAGCCAGTCAAATACAACTCTAGGGGGTAGAGCTCATCTCCGTTTCCAAGCTGAAGAGTCAGTGGTGTCCGAAGATGTTTCTGTGTTCATGTGGACGGCATGACTAAACGCCGAGACGCACGGAACACTGTTACATTCCCTCCGAAGTGATACCTATTTATCTACTTGCAATTCCTTGCTTTTGAACTGCTAGGTTAGCAGGAGCTGGGGAGACGGGAGCTCACTCCGTCATGTGGCACTCGGGTCTCTAACTGTTGAACTACAGACCTTTTGGTCTGCAACCCAGAGCCCTACTGCAGACCAACACAGCTACCCTCTGAAACTGTCTTTAAATTTGCTGTGGACTAGCTTGCTTGTGGCCAGAGAGATCACCTTGGGGAAAACTCAAAATCCAACATTATTGAAAGAAATCCAAACAATGCTGATGGTGTGCGAAAATCAAAAGGATTTTATTGACACATTCTGGCAGAAAACTCACTGAAATGTATAAAGTGGATGTTTTGTAGGCAACTGGACACAGTATATTGCACTGATTCGTTAGCCAACAGGATAATTATTTCAACGCACAGGATGTTCTTAGAATTACAGACACCAACAAATTCCTCTATTCTGAAGTAAAATAAAAAACCCCAGAAAACTGGACACAGGAGACACAGTGATTTTGCAAGTCCAGAGTGATTTAATAGGTTTCAGCCTGACATATCTTTTCAGAATGACCTTCTGTAGTCCAGGTAGTGAAACCACACAACTGGTTGAAATAATGAAAGCTTATTAAGTGACCCCCCTACCCCGCCACATGCCCGTTTGCTTCACGGCTGTAATCCAGGAGTGCTTGCAAAATTTTCATGCTGCCCGTTCTGGTTGAGTTGACTTGAATCGTGTAGGCTGTGGAATTCTCAGACTTTATCACTCAAGCGGATTCACTTCCAAAGTTCAGAACACCGAATCCGAACCTCTTCCGAATGTGACTGACTGCACATTACACCCACAACGCAATCCCTTGTGGGAACTCCTCGACACTGCCTCACCTCCCAACGGAAGAGTGGTGTCAAAAGGGGATGGTTTGCAGGCAAGAAGCAATCCTCTCTCCCTGAGATCTCCAGCCCCATATTTTTGATGGAAATATGTATCTGGAATATGGGCTGGGGGGTTCTTTATAAATATTTGAAAACCGAGTTGCAGGGGGGAAAGTGGAGGGCAGGGGAGGAATTCGGCACATAGTACGGAGGCAAAGGGAAAGGTCTCCTAATACATACTCCAGACAGACTTTGCGGCTCAGTCCTAAAGCTGCAATGCTTTGTGGGCTTATTCCAGAGCAAGCTCTACTGAACACTGTGGGACATTTTGGGGTAGAAATACATACAATCAAGCGGTGTGAGAGCCTTCACACAGAGCACTAAGAAGGGTATATGGATTTTCTGTTTCTGTTCTAGGACATTACATCAATATTAATTATTCCTTAACACTGACGACTGTCCGAAACAGTCTACCCCTTTCTAGTACAGAAGGCCATCCTCCTCGGGCTCTATATTTTTATAGCCATAACGGCCATCGGCAATTGGTAACACGTAACTTTGAGAATGCCTGTGTTCACAGGAACGGAAAAATCCACATGCTACATTCTCATAACCTTTATTAGGTCAAAACAGCCAGTCTATATCCTCAGCACAATCAAACCACATACAAAGGACTGCACCCATATCAATGCGTTTTGCCTAGCAGCTTCCCTGACAGGCCAGTTTTTACAAGCAGTGAGGTTCCTCTCATGCAGAAAAGCATTTTTCAAACTATTTTGCCCCACACCCAAAATTGCCACCCACAGCCTGTAGCAATACAACCCAGGAGATTTCCCAGTTGACTTATCTGATTGGCTAGGACAAAAAAAAGACAACAATATGGAGTGCTCCCTCTGTTCCCTGATAGATCAATGGACATGGGGAAGAGAATTAGAAGCTTTAGAGGTTCCCAACGAAGAGGAAAGCAAGGCGCCTGTTTGTTAACTTTCTGCAAATCCACAAAATGAGGGCAGAGGAATCAGAGAGGAATGAGCAGTCTCCCTGGCAGCTGTTTATGAAAGGCCCTGCATACACATGATCAAGAGCAAACATCCCAAAGGCCTTTAGACCCTCTGGCTGTTTTCCCTTCAAGTTTCAGATCCAGGATGGAACTGGGTAGATACAGTAAAATTACACATCCTTAACAAGTGGGTTGACCAGGCAGTAAATTTGCTGGAGTGTCAGGAACAGAAAGAGCTATTTTAGGCAGAAGAAAAGCTCTGTAAGTTTGACAATCGACCATGATTTTGGAAAAAAAAAATGCAGAGGAATTCACTGGAGAACCCACCCCCCTGATTAAATACAGCATTCATTCAAGATATTAAAGCTCGTGCAACTACTTAAATGTGTGCGTTTTCATCAGCACCTGCCGGCTCTTGGGAGTATCTGTCTGTGTTTCAAATCACAGAGAGCCAGGTTATGTGGCTGGACACTAAATCTTAAATTATGGCCCTATGCTTTTCCCCCAACACATCTCTAAGTGCTCCTGCAGCGACTTAAAAAAAAAAAGAGGTATGCAGTCCTTTCAAAAATCAACGTTTCTGTTGTCACACGCATACCCTCAAATGAACTTAAAAGACATACTGGTCAGTTTAAATCTACAGGCAGATGCCATTCAATCTGTGACTTTACTGCAAAGGAGAAATCTTCAATGGTATCATAATTCTGGATTCCATTTCCTGAATCAGAGGGACTGGAAATAAAAAAGAAGACAAAGGCCTTGTTTGTTAATTCAAAAAGGCTTATGCAGAAGTTACACATGAAACATGGGTGGGACTTGACCGCCAACAAATATTACACAAGTAAGCAGAAACGTCAAAATTTCCTAGGGGCGGAGGCTGGCACACCCTCAGCCGGCCCTCTGAACTTGGAAGATGCAGACTATGCAAATGAAGAATTCTCTCAGTCCGCCTGCGATCCTCCTGCGTGCTCCGTGCAAAGTGGGAATGGTGGAATGTTTAGGGTAATAACGATCCCTTTGCCAGTCATTGGGACAAACCACAAAGGAGCTATGGCAGAGACTCAAAGGGAGAGCGGTGCAGGAATTCAAAACACCCCGTGGCCAAATCCCTCCGTTGGATAACAGGGGTCATTTCGTAGAAAAAGAGCTAGGGGAACTCATTAACATAACTCATTAGCATATGCCACACCCCCTGACATCAGGGGCCTGGCGGTGGACCTGCAAGGCCGGCGGAAGTGCGAGGAAGCCCCGCCAAGGCCCTCTCTGGCCCCAGGCAGGCAGGGGTGGGGAGAGGCGGGGAGGAAGCAACTTACCCTCCCTCTTCTCCTGCTTCCTCCTGGCTGAATGAGGGCTGGAAGCGGGGTGGCCAAAAGCAGGGGGCGGGGCTTCATCGTGTGCCCCACCCCCCTGCACCTCACCCGGGGGAACTGCGTTCCCCCGCGATCCCCCCCGAAATGACCTCTGGATATGAACACAGCGAAGTCTCAGAAGGGATGGAAATTCGGTTTCTGGATCACGAGAGCAGCAAATTGTTACCTGTGTAGTACACCAGCTCATCCCATCCAGGTTTGTGCCATGCAGAGTTTCTTGTGTCTTCTCTGGACTGGAGATCTTTGTAAGCTGGGAGTGTTAGAGGAAAAGAAACCGGTGCCTTGATTTGCATTCACATCCTCCTTTCAAACAGAGCTGAATACCACAGACAAGCAGGTCTGCGGTCAGGTCTCCACTATAGACCCTGAACGGCTTTCACTGTCATAGCACCACCCGCCCTTCCCCATGGGGCTGCATCTCAATGAGGAGGCTTGGATGAACTGCTTGCAAGTGACAGAGGATTCATTTGTAGGAGGGGCAGCACAGACTCTTTGTTAAAGGGGAGTGCACACCCCTGGCTCTTGAGATGTTCAGATGCCAGAGTTACTGCCTGTTCCATCCCTCCCCAGGATGCCTCTTGTTCAGCCATAGACAGAAGGACGGCTGCCTCCCTAGAAAGCAGAGCAGAGGAGCTCTCTGGGATATTCTCATGTCAATTTGGTGGTTCTTATGCATAAAGTGTGCATGGACGGTGCATAAGTAAGGTATGCCCTGCTATATAACCTGTGGCGTATGCAACGCTGTTTGCCTTTCCCAGCCCCAAATGCAGTGATAAAAACACAAACAAAACCTGAGCACTCTTCTGGGGGGGAAATTATTGGGGTGCCAACCAGTGTTCCCTCTAAGTTGTGGAGCAAAAATTCTACTCTGTGAGCTACTGGCATTAAAGCTGTGAGCGAGCAATTTGGCTACTGCAACAATTAATTTGCTCTGGAGCCCTTTCCTGAGCTAAGCCAGAGGCTAAAGAACTGTGAGCTAACTCACACTAACTCAGCTTAGAGGGAACACTGGTGCCAACTGCACCCTTATGAGTTGTAACAGCAAGGAGCAAAGGTAAGGTGTGCTTACCGAATCACACTGAAGCCAACTTACCCCAGAGATGATGAACCATATACAGCTGCCCAATCTGTGAGAAAAATCCTCCAACGGCTTCTTCGTTGTCTTGTCGGAAACGAATGGCACGGGCCCTGAAAAGAAAAGATGGGGCTTTAAAAATCGAACGTGAGTTCCGGAGCTGAGACAGCAAAGGCAGGCATAGTTACCATGGCACCAGAATGCAGCAATGCCCTGGGCACCCCATATTTAAAAACAAACCAGCCCACCCAAGCCATCAATATTCAGAGCTTAATATTTCAAGTTCCGACAAGCCCATATTAATTTAGTTTATATCAGAGCACCTGTTATAATTTCAGCCAGATCATTGTATATATACAGCCTATAAAGCTTTTAATATATTCATTGTTTTATAATCTTTATTAAAGGTAAAGGTAAAGGTTTCCCTGGCTCGAAAGCCAGTCGAATCCGACTCTAGGGTGCGGTGCTCATCTCCGTTTCCAAACCGAAGAGCCAGCGCTGTCCAAAGACATCTCTGTGGTCATGTGGCTGGCATGACTAGACACCAAGGCGCACAGAACGCTGTTACCTTCCCACCAAAGTGGTACCTATTTATCTACTTGCAATTTCTTGCTTTTGAACTGCTAGGTTGGCAGGAGCTGGGGCCAGAGACAGGAGCTCACTCCATCATGCAGCACTTGGGTCTCGAACTGCTGACTACCAACCTTCCAGTATTTTCCAAACTCCTAATCTCTATTTTTGCATATCATTAAAACACAAGAGCAGGACCATTCAGAGTTGGGGGGAGTAGCTATCATTCTGAATTTCTCCTTCAGTTCAAGTCAGCTCTGCTTGAGAGGAAGTTATCAGATAGTTATTGGACTTTTATGTGACAACTACACAAAACCTTTCATTGTTCATCTTGTTTAAAAACCACCTTGCAGAAATGGGTCTCATCTTCTCATTTTAAAGAACAACTGCTGCTGCTTCTTAATTACTGTTTCCACAACAAAAGTCATAAAAAGCGATTAAAGAACAACTAAGGAATTAAGACTCAAAGACTCAGCAAAAATTACTTTTTAAACGTTGATGGATGAAGGGCTGTTTCAGTAAACAGCAAACCAAAAGGTTGTTTTTCTCTGAGAACAACTCTGATATTTTCCCCTTGTATGGGTTCTTATCCTCCTGGGTATTCACCCTCTCTGCGTGTCAACAAATTCAGTTAGCCAAACAAAGGGTGAGTGAGATTGCTATCCAGGAGGACAGTGTCCTGAGATGAAGTTTCAGGTGCTCACCTTACCAGCTTGTTCTAAAAACAGTCCAGTGTTTTTGAAGGTTATTTACATTAAAGAATCAGTCAATGCACCATGAAGGTGCACTCATAACCTTCTGGCCAGATGTATGTTATCCTTTCCAGGAACAAGTTCAAGGAAGACTGTGGGTTTGCAGCAGAAACAGGATGTGCACAGCACTGACAGACTGGTGACTGTGGCATCGTGAACCCCCATTCACCCATGCTTCTAAAATGATTGCATTTTTGTTTCTAAAAGGGTGTGTGTGCACACACATTGAATAAATTTTAAACTGAATCAGCAATATTTTATGAAAAAAATAAAAAGCAGACAGTCTCGGTGGGGGTGGGTTGAAGACTGAAACCGCTCCTAAGTACATTTATTTTTAACAAACCAAAGGAATGAGAAAGTTGTGCCTACCCCAGAGGTAATCATCTTTCAATGAACAACGTTTGTATTCATCTTTTTTTTAAAAGCTGCTTTGGCATGCATTTTGCAAAGCACACACCCATTTAGAGTTTTAGTCTATGGTCTGCAAAGTCATGCCCACAGGGAAGCCTTCCCCAGACTATAGTGGAAAATCAGTCCAATACAATTGCTGAAAACACCTAAAGGACCACAATGGCTTGAAGTCCTAAAAAATAGATTTCTGGGATTGGAAACTAAGAGACTGGTTGAGCATATCCTAAAAAAAGCAACATCCAAGAAGCAATTCAGCAATCCTAGCAAGAAGGGTTGCCATGAGTCACTAGTGACTTGACGGCACTTAACACACAAAAAAGCACAGCAAGACGTCGCTTGGGAAACTAACACCTGGGATGCAGAGCAAGTGGAAGGAGGAAATCACTCAGTGGGCAGAAAGCAAGTTAACCCAACACAAATCCTGCCCAGAACAATTGTGCAGAAACCATTACAAAAGAGACTGCTATGAATTATTTGGAAAGGAACTGAAAAGAAAACAGCAAGTATTATAGCATCACTAAACTGAGCTATGATATGGAACAATTACATGACTGCATTTAGAACAAGTATTCTTAACGTGGGGTCTGTGGATAGATTTCAGGGGGTTCATGAACTTGGATGGCAAAAGATTACATCTTCTTTTCACTAACCTTAACTGAAATATACCATTTCCTTCAATTATGAATGTAGGCATCAAACCACAGTACAAAAAATGTTAAGACCCCTGGTTTAGAAAGAGATAATGGATACTAGCTTGATTAAACAGGATGAGGAGTCTTGGTTTATCAAGAGCTAATGACTGTAATGGCTAAATCCTTCACATTGACAGGCACTATATCTCTGATTACCATACATTTTCGTGCCTTGCTCGTGAGTTTCTAGAGAAATATGGCTGGTCTCTGTTGGAGGCAGAATGCTAGATTACATGGACCGTCATCAGACCTGGCAAGGCAAGTCATATATTCACCGAAACCTCCTTCCAACACCTTCTTTACCGCTAGAATACAATATATAGATGACTGCTTTGCGGGTAAGTCTAGGATGCCATTCATAATATAGTGAAGGACACTTACCAGTAGTTTCCCCACTCAATCATTGTTCCAGGCTGAAAGAAAAAGAAAGGATGCAACTAAATAATCAAACCAGAATTCCTCTCTCCATTTCCCAGATTGGGAAGAGAACACAGGCTGCCCCCTTTACCTCTACGAAACCTTTCATGTTCTATTTAGTGAGTAAAAAGACAATTCAAGAGACCAGCAATAAGTATGCTTCCAGTAGGGTTGGCCATCATTAAAGATTTGGTCAACGACAAGGCTAAATATTGTCAAATATGATCAAATAATGGTCAAATATTTTAAAAGTATTAACTTTAATTTTTAAAGACTCAAAAGATATTGTAATGCTAGTTACAAAAACAATTAATTAACTAGCACTGCAAAACAGTGACTTTGTTTTTAATTGCACTGAATTACTATAACATTTAAAAATATTAGGTAAGGTTTTTATAAATGTGAACAAGTCTTCTCCTTGGCCTTTATCCTGGAACTTCAGGATCAGCCTGCAGTTACATATTTTTGTTTTTTTTAATGTAATTAGAATAGAAATAAAACAAAATATCAGCAACTATTAGAAAACAGAGGTCCCGGTCACACGGGCAGGATATCGCGGGGGGGAGGCGTGGCTGTTTGCCCCGGAGCGAACTACCGCGCGGCCGCCGGATCAAACGTCCCCCCGACATCCCATAGTTCCGGGGGGAGGTGCCGATCATACGTAAATCCTGCGGCACGGCAAAGAAGCGGCACGACGGGGGTTGTGTGTTTTTTAACCGAAGTGTGCGCATGCGCCGTTGGGTGCTTGTGCACATTCCATGTTTTTTTTTTTAACCGAAGTGTGCCCATGCGCCGTTGGGCATATGGAGCAGAGGTCCATCCCTGGCTATTAGCCACAAGGTACAGATGGATGTCTGGGGCAGTGATACTCTGTATACGTGGTGCTTGGGGGGCCACAGTGGGAGGACTTCTGGAGTTCTGGCCCTGCTGGTGGACCTCCTGATGACATCTGGGTTTTGTCCACTGTGTGACACAGAGTGTTGGACTGAATGGGCCATTGGTCTGATCCAACATTGGCTTCTCTTATGTTCTTATGAGCACAGCTATTGGCATTAGTAGGGGTGTGGTCAGGAATACTATTTAGTGGATGTGGCTTTTGCCTGTTCAAAAGACAGAACTTCCAAGAGAAAACCAGCAAACATGGAACCACTGGTGCAGTACAATCTCTGTTACCGGCATCTAGCAGTAGCCAGGCTGCCCTGTACTCTACCAGTAATAGCCTTCTAACAATATTTACAGGCAGGCCTATACAGAGTGTGTTGCTGGAGTACAGTCTGAATTTTAAGCTCCAACGTGACTAACTGAATCCCCTGTTACCTTGGTAAAAGAGATACTCATTTCTGAGGGGAACAATTCTGAGGCAAAGATAATGACAGGCACAGTTTTATTGTATTTTTTTAAATCATATTCTAAAAATCTAAAAGGGCACTCACACGAAGTTGGTAAGACCTCAGTTCATAGATATTGGGGCCTGCCCTGGGAACTGGTTCATTCCAGAAACTGAACTCCAGCAGCAGCTGATTCTTGCGCGAAAGAAGCATATTTCCCCTTGCTTTGCGAAACTCCATGAACTCCTAAAAAACAAAAATCCAGAGTGCAGAAGTGTAACAACAAGATGCTCTACATGCTTATTAAAAACTAATCCAGAGCATGCTATTTGGTTCCGGGGCATTAACAACTTAAACCTTGAATTCTACCAAATCTAATAATGTATTTGATATACAAATTTTGGGACACCTGGTTGACGTACAAATAGGGGAGGGGCTGTGGCTCAGTGGCAGAGCCATTTATTTATTTACTTATTGCATTTTACCCTGCCCTCCCCGCATGCAGAAGGTCCCAGGTTCAATGCCCAGCATCTCCAGCTGAAAGGATTAGGTTGGAGGTGATGTGAAAGACCTCAGCCTGAGACCCTGGAGAGCGGCTGCCAGTCTGAGTAGACAATATTGACTTCAATGGACCGAGGGTCTGATTCAGTATAAGGCAGCTTCATGTGTTCGTGTCAAATTCTTGCAACAATTATACGTTAAAAATTCAGAAGGCAACAAAAATTCTTTTTTTCAGAATTGATTGCCACTGAAGGCCAAAGCAGAAGCAATGGGGATGAGGAATCCACACATATGTATTTATATGTAAAGCAGGAGTGGGGGAATCTTACTTTTTATAGAAGTTGGAACATGCAGGTGCTTTATCTATTTCCACCCTAAATTACTTCTTGCATCAGAGCTGGTCTGGGAGAAAAATGTTTTGAATGGTGGAAAGCAAGGAGGTAAAGAGGGAGTAGGGAGAGGATTTAACCTCACTTGCACGCTCTGTTTTCTGTAAAAAGTAGACCCCCCCAATTTACATATGAACAAGTGGGCATATGTATAAATACACACTGATCATGTTTAGTTGGATCCTGAGTGCTGGGACAACACACAAGTACATTCATCAGAAGAGGGAGAGCAGGGTGGGTGGCATAGTTTTGTAACAGATTCAAGTGGGTAGCTGTGTTGGTCTGAAGCCACAGAACAAAGTTTGAGTCCAGCGGCACCTTTAAGACCAACAAAGTTTAGTTCTGGGTGTAACTTTGTTGATCTTAAAGGTGCCACTGGACTCAAACTTTGTTCTATTGGTTTTGTAATGTAATGGCAAAATGTCACCATACAAAAGCCCACCCTTCTTCTTAAATGCACAGTATAAAAGATGGTTACAGCAAAGTGTATCCTGTACACAGCAAAAGTCAGGGACTACTTGACTCTGCCTCGGGGGACTAGAAGAACAGGCGCTGCTAACCTCAACCTGGATGGAGCAGCCAATGCCCTAAAGCAAGTGTGAAGTTACCAAAAAATGTTTCTACATGACGCTTCAGAGACAAATTGAGTCTGGCCAAAAGATATGGATCTTCACCAAGATCATGACGGTCAGCTTCACAGGAACAATACTTTTAAGTTAACAGCTTGCTTCCGTGACAGGTTACAGCAGGCTTAACTTGGAAGTAGATGGAACAGAGATTTCCTGGCTATTTTCTTCACACTAAGACTAAGGCTTCAAGCAGCTGCCCCTAAGTTTCCATTCAGTTAGTAAACTTGCTTATTGCCTCTTGCTAATCTCATGACAGAAGAAGTTCCAAAGGCCCCACATGCAGTCAGCATGTACTCATCCTTTTAAGTGGGAAGAAACAAGTGCCTGTCAGGCTCCTTCTGAGTCAAAGGGCAAAGAACTGGAGCAACAGCAACGTAGGCAGACCACTGAACATGCCTGGCCTGGAAACTTTCACAGCAGTCTATTGAAGAGGACTGTAAAGGAGTGAAGAGCTTCCCTGTTCCTGCCGTCTGCTTCTTGTTTATTGTTTATTGGCATAAGTACAAGTGATGATGCTTCATCCTAACATAACTGAAAGTTAGAATACTTTCAACACCAGCATACCTTGCACAGTTTATGCAATGACAGCAGTGAGTACAACACTCTACGGCTCTCGTTTTTCAAGCCACAAGGCAGCCTTTGGAAACCTGGAGTTTAAACTTGCAGCTTATGCTCTGTTAGAGGATGCTTCTAGCAGAGGTCATAGTATCTAAACCAAAACCCACTGAAATCGGCAGTGTCACCCGGTTCTGAATAGGGCGGAGCTGATACAGTCCAGCTTTATACTTGGCCTTACCTTATCATGTCGAAGCTTGCTCATGACCTCCGTAAGGGCTGGGTAGCCTCCCTCATATCGCCAGAGGTGGACTGGAATCAAAAGGGGCAAGTTTTAAAGTCCCCTCCTCTTTAGAGAGACACTCGACTGGCTCGTTCTGCCCACCTCTTTCCCTCTGTTTCAAGTGGGCTTCAGCTCCATACCTCTAGCTTCCACATAAGTGGATAAACCACTTTGCTCTCTTTCGGTGCCCATTAAGACCACTAGGGGTCTCAAGACAGGAAGCCATGCTGGAGACCTGCCTCCTGAGCAAAGTTCCCTCTAAGCTGTGGAGTCTTGTGAGCAAAACTTCTACTTTGTGAGCTACTGGCATTAAAATTGTGAGCAAGCAATTTGGCTACTGCATAAATTAGTTTGCTCTGGAGCCATCCTTTCTGAGCTAAGACAAAAATGTGTGAGCCAAAGACTAAAAAACTGTGAGCTAGCTCACACTAACTCAGCTTAGAGGGAACAGTGCTCCTGAGCCACCCACCACTCCCTTGAAAGGCTTCTGAGCCTTGGTCACCTGGAGATTGACTCTGCTCCATGCCCCACCCTCTCAGGCTCCTTAAGCCACTGGCTGCCCTTTGACTCCGGGACCTTGTTTGGCAACCCACAGGTTCTCAGCCTGGCTAGAACAGAACACCTGTCGCAAACACACATCACCGGCACGGTTGCAGGTTGTGTTGTACATCTATCTCCTACCAGCCTGATCTTGCTCTCCGTACCACGTGTTCCACGTCCCCACCAGTGTACATGGATACTCCTTCCCTTCGTGGATCTTTGGCAGCACCTCTTTACTTTAAAAAAGAAAAGAAACAGACACATCATGTTGAATTTCCTTCACTGTGACCAATCCTCAGAACAAAATCGCAGCCCTCTCACCTGATGTTAAACGTACAATTTTAAAAATTGCTACCAAAAGGGAAAATAATAATAATTTGAGTGGAGGAATTATTTTAGAATGAACACTCTAATGCATGAGACCGGAAGCTTCTTCACTGTGCAGCACAAACTGATGCAGCCAGTTTGGTGTAGTGGTTAAGTGCGTGGACTCTAATCTGGGAGAACTGGGTTTGATTCCCCACTCCTCCACTTGCACCTGCTGATGTGACCTTGGGTCAGTCACAAGCTCTGGCACAGCTGTCCTTGAAAAAGAGCAGTTTGTGTCAGAGTTCTCTCAGCCCCACCCACCTCACAGGGTGTCTGTTGTGGGGAGGGGAAGGGAGAGGAGTTTGTAAGCCGCTCTGAGACTCCAAGTGAAGGGCAGGGTATAAATCCAATCTCTTCTCTTCTTCTTCTTCTTCAAACGTATATCCCAGAATGCTCATTGGTTTACATTTAACTCAATCTGTATCAGACTGCAATTTTAAGGAGAAGCGTCTTTTAAAAATTCCTGGGCATCTGGGATAGCGCACTTCTTCGGTGACTTTGAGCCAGTCTCCCTCTCTCTCTCAGCCTAACCAACCTTACAAGAGTCTTTTTAGGGTTCCTCTCGTCAGTTTAGCTGCTGCATGACTATACAGTCACAGATGGATTAAAAAATAGCCTCTACACTGGTTGTTCTTGGTTATAGGTAAAAGTAAAGGTTCCCTTGCTCGGAAGCCAGTCGAATCTGACTCTAGGGTTGCGGTGCTCATCTCCGTTTCAAAGCCGAAGAGCCAGCGCTGTCTGAAGACATTTCCGTGGTCATGTGGCCGGCATGACTAAACGCCAAGGCGCACAGAACGCTGTTCCCTTCCCACTGAAGTGGTACCTATTTACCTACTTGCAATTTCTTGCTTTCGAACTGCTAGGTTGGCAGGAGCTGGAACTAGAGACGGGAGCTCACTCCGTCATGCGGCACACTCGGGTCTCAAACTGCTGAACTACCTTCCACAGCCTGCAGTTCAGCGTCTTAACCACTTGAGCCACCGCAGCTCCCTACTTGCTTTATTGGTTATACTTGGCTATAAATCAAAAGCCCTGTTTTTATAACCACTTCTGAACGCTACAGTCCTGCATGTCATTTTTCTAACCCTGAGGAGAAAATAACCACATTAGTTGTGCTCATTTTTGCCCACAAAATGGACATGGTATGAGGGGCTGGACAGGAAACCCTAGACAAGCTGATTTCGTTACACTCGTAAGAGCCACAGTGTTCCAATTTTCCTTCTTCTAAACCAAAAGTCAGTATATTGTTATTGATATTTGCATCATTGATGTACACGGCACTTGAAAGGATACAGAAACACAGATCCCTGTTTCCTAAAATTTGACACAAGGGAGACGACAGACAGGGGAGGAAAACCGAGGAGGGGATAAACATTCATTTCAGTTATATGAATTTAGTCTGAAGCTTCAAGTTTTAGTAGAGGATTTTAAGAAGTTTGCCAAAAGCTTCACGGAAAAGGTGGGTTTTGAGGAGAGATCTGAAAGAGGCAGGTAGCATCAAGCAGATGGTCTGCGAGGCAACTCTAGACATAATTCACAGCTTCTAGCTTCAAATCAGTGGCAAATACCTTGTTTCTTTTTTTTCTTTCTTTCCTCCTTTTCCTCATTATTCTTTCCCACTGTCTAAATCAAGACTGCTAGCTCCTTGGGGGCAGAGACCTGTTTTTTTACAAATTTATGCTGCTTTGTAAAGCACCATAAGACATTGGTGGCACTGCATAGCCAACTATGGCTGCGATCACACGCACTAAATAATCCACTTTCATTCAATTTTAAATGCACTTTCCAACTGGATTTTATTGTGTGAACTGGCAAAGTCCAGTTGGAAAGTGCACTGAAAGTGGATTGAAAGTGGATTACCGTATACCCTTGACCAAAGGACAGTACACGCCTATCTGGGATGGTCGTCCTCTTCAATAATCGAGCGCGCAGTTTTGGGAGGGAGGCACATGGAGCGGTGAGGGAGGTCGGGGACACCCGCCTAGCCAGCCAGATCAGCCGAATCAACCCTGGCGATCAATGGGGTGACAGATGCCGCAGCCAGATCACCCTCACTTCCTGAAAGTGGATTATTTAGTGTGTGTGATCGTAGTCTATGAAACTCCAGTTTAAAATCCCCAAGGCACTCAGTACAACACCAGGACTTACCAAAGCTGGTTGTAGGAGTCTAGGCATTCTGGTTTGACATTGTGAACTGAAACGGCAACAGTCAACAACAAAGGTTTAAAGTAAGGGACTAGTATGAGCAATAACCAATTAAATACACATGAATTTGCATATGAATAACACAACAATTCAGAAGGGGAAGGACGCTGTTTTTGAGAATGCCTGCATGTGTTATAGCAGGCGCTAATCAGGAAAAGGAATCTTTCCTGTGTGTGTGAGAGAACAGGAAATACCCGCCACCCAAGGATCTGTAACTACTTACAATGAAATAATAAACCTCTGAAACGTCTTCTACCCAATTAATCAGGAGCAACGTTTAATCAATGAAAACCTTTTGAATAGTTAAACCTAGAAGACTAATTAACTAAATACTTCAACCAGTGACTCACACTGTATTTTATAGAGACTGCTGGTCTCCCTTTTGGCTAAGAGATTGGAATGAGCATCTTTCCTGGGATCAACCTTGCGGACAAACAATGATTTTAACCAGCTGTCTTCACCAGATCGGTTATTGGATGACACCAGGCCCCTGCAAGTTAAAAAAGATAGCATTAAAACAGTATTCCTGCTACCTCAACTGCATTCTGTGCCATCATCGTTAGATTTCGCAGTCAGTTTGTGAATGGTGCTGAACACCATTTTGTGAGTCCACTTGATGTGTCTAAAGCAAGACATGGTTTGGACCATCCTGACTCCCAGCACTACTACTTTTAAACCATCACTATATACAGAAGTCAAGGACACATTGCCTTGATCTGGATAGCCCAGACTTGCCTGATCTTGTCAGATCTTGGAAGTGAAGTAAGGTTGGCACTGGCCAGTGTTTATATGAGAGACCACCAATAAATAGCAGGGCCAGTAGGCAGAGTCAAGGAATGGCAAACCACCTCTGAACATCTCTTGCTTGAAAACCCTGACAGGATCACCATGGGTCAGCTGCTGCTTGACGGATTAAAAAAAAAAAAAGACATATTATCCAGCAGGAGACAGATGGTGCATCTTTGCCCCATCTTCTGGAAAGAGCATAATTACAGTTTAAAATGTACATGCTGACTCAAGGTTATCTGGAGGATTAAAAGATAAAACACCTGTTTCACTGCAAGCGCCCATGTCCTAGACAAGAATGGTCTACAAAAAGCAAGATGTGTCCTGCAGGATTCTGACACTGCAGCGAAACAGAGCCAGAACAACAGAAGAATGATGGCACTACCAAATCAAAGGCTCAAAAGAGGGTCCTTTCTAGAGGTCCTATTGTGGTTTACCTATATAGGGTCTATATAGCAACAAAGGAGATTTTGACTGCCACTAGTGGTGGCAGAACTGAATGCAGAGAAATCTGAGGGGGGGGGGTACAATCTGCCAAGAAGTTTCCCTGCACATGCCTCAGAATGAAAGCTCTGTGACAGCATGTTATAAGCCTCATGTTAACTATTGGGATATGTGTGACGCCTAGATTTCTTACCTGGGGCCCTAAAATGCCTGGCCATGAATTTATATATATTAGTTAGCTAGGAAAGTCACTTAACCAGCTACATGACTTTATCCCAGTGGGCACTACAGCTGCAGGAAAATAATGGCTTACCAATACAAACTGGGAAGAAAAACAGGCATTTAACAATGGAGTCCTAAGCAGAATTATGCCCTTCTAAGTTCATTGATATCAGTGGGCTGAAAAGGGTGTTAACTTTGCTAAGGATTCCACTGCAAGTTACCTTTTAATCAGATCTAGTGCAGAAGGGAGTGAGCCAGCACATAAGTCATTCCGAGAGTCTTTGACCGTCTAAAGCTTGGAGCCCTATTTATATCATCCAAGTGTTCTGCAGCGTAACTATCTTTGTTGTGTTTCAATACAGCTGACGCAAGGCTAAAAGACAAAGACTAAGTAGGAAGACTCTCTCCCACTATCCAGATTTGCAAACAATGTTTTTGTTATCTCAAAGAACCCACTTGTATCTTGTTTCCCACAGTATATGGCCTAGAGAGCATGACTTCTTAAAAATCTTCCATGCAAGATAGTGAGGATTATACGATGTTTGCATAGTTTGCTGAAGGTAAAAGTTAAGACAGCATACATCCTTGTTGACAGACTGAGTGTGGGGAGGGAAGGATCTGAGAGGCTGTTGGTTCAAATCTAATCTTGGCCCCATATTCAATAGGTGGTCTTTAGCAACACTGTCCGTCTAGTATCTAGGAGCTCAGAGTGGTGCACATTGTCCTCCCTTATTTCAGCCTCACAACACTACTATCAGGTAGGTTAAGCTCAGAGATAGTGCCTGGATCAAGGTCAAGTCCCTCTCTGTCAGCCTCAGTCACCCAGTCTGCAGTATGGAATGACAAGCAGGTGACCCACAATGATATGCAAGGGCCATCTCATTTCCTCACTATTTCCAGTTTCCCTTCCCTAGTTTCCCCCGTAGTCTCTCCCCTATTCTTGCTTCCTTCTCTCCTTCACCTCCGGCCAACCTACCTTAAGGTCCCCTCTCCCCCCATCTTCAGCTTTCCCTCCTCCTCTCCCCAGGAAAAGTCTGGCTAAGTTGCAAAAGTCACGTGCTGCCTGCCAGGCCTGGGTTGCACAGTACCCACTGGGCCCAAGCAAGTTGTATGAGTTGTGAATCACTTGCCAGGCCTGCTCCTAATGAGTCTTCCTGTATTAGGAGACGTGACATGGGGGGTGGAGGAGGCCCTTTTCCAGGTTGTTTTGGCCTCCTATTCTACCCCTGCCCACTGCCATGTCTTTGCTTTACAGAAACCAACGCTTGGAAAGCTCTGCAGTATATGGTTGCCTAGCCACACCCAAAATGGTCACTGAGAGCTCAGTGGGCATACTTTTCTTAAAGCTATGGGTGTTGTTTTGATAATTTTGAGGAATTTTAATCCCTTGATGTATTTTTTTTTAACATTTCAGATTTTTCTGTAAACCACGGACTTCCTCCAGTTTGTGCAGAAACCCTCCTCTGTCTCTGCCTCCATCCTGCTGTTTTAAAATCCACATTCTATGGCTCAGTTTGAAATTAGATATGACAATACTGGCCTGCCTTACATGGTTGTTGTAAAGATTACTGTGACAATGTGTCCAAGGATTTTGAAGAATCGAAAAGCTATAAAAATATGAAGTATAATTACTAGCAGAGCCTTTGCCCAAGGGTGGACAATCACTGTCAGCTAAATAGGGATGTCTCACTTAAACATTTGACTCCTGAACATATGCTTCCAGGAAACTGACATGTTTTTCAATTCGGTTTGGTTTGTTGTCTTGACCATAGATCCAAACACAAATTTAGAGAACAGAAGGAAACATATACATCAGATAGAGCCAATACAAACAACCCCTTGTCCTTGTGTCTCTACAGTTATTTACCTCAGTTTTTCAACTGCAAGAGCAAACATAGCCACTTCATGCATCAAACGTCTGACATTAAACATCTGATTTACATTGATTTGACCAAGACGAGAAATAGGAAGGCAATGGAGACAATATATAAATAGTGACGGACATCCTCACCTGGGCCTGCACTACATACACAATGTATACTATGGCCCCGTTCACATGGAGCATTTGCTGTGCTGAAGGCACAATAGTCCCACGGATTTTCTGGGCGCGATCACACTGGAACATCTGGGAAGCGTAGTGCACCCGTGGCTAACCCGTGGCTTTTCGCCGAAGATGCGGAGTAAAAAACTACTGCAGAAAGTGTACTAGTTTCCGGAAAACGTGGGGCAGGGGTGGGCATCTGATCGCGTTTCCGCTTGAATCCCGTGGCATCCAGCGCCCGTCCATGTCCCATTGCAAACCGGATGTTGTTGTTTTTTAAGTCTCCACAGGATGCGCACAAATGCCCAACGGCACATGCGCACAGAGAGGAAAGCGAAAGTTCCGTTGGTCCACAGAATGGTGCTTGCTCGATCATGCGGGTGCGCAAACTTTGGTGAGAAAAAAAAATCCCGTTTGCCACGGAAGCGGCGCCTAGCGATTGCCAGTGTGATCACGCCGCGCCGCTTCTTTGCAGCGCTTCAGGATAGCTGTGTGATTGGCACCTAACGGCGTAACCACAGGAACTCCACGGGACGTGCGATCGGGCTGCCACGCTTTACTTTGCTCCGGGGCAAACAGCCCCCCTCCCCCCCCCCCCGGCATTTTCCAGCCCTTGTGACCGGGGCCTATGTGTACTATCAATCAGGCCTGACCTGACCATCCTGACTCCCAGCAGTACTACTTTCAAACCATCACTATATGTGGAAGTTATGGACACACCTGGACAGCCTAGATCAGCAGCTAGCCTGATCTCATTAGATCTTGTAAGCAAACCAAGGTCAGGCCTGATTACTATTTGGATGGGAGACCTCCAAGGAAGTCCAGGGTTGCTATGCAGAGGCAGGAAATGGAAAACCACCTCTGTTCGTCTCTTGGCTTGAAAACCCTACAAGATCACAGAGTTGGCTGCAACTTGATGGCACTTTACATAATAGGGTTGCCAAATGAGGCTGGGGGGCAGGGAATCCCCCGCTTTGGCGGCCCAATTTCCGATGCGACGGAATCGGGCCCCGGGGGGAACCCCGCCCCCCGAAGCTGCGTCACCAGAGGTGACGCACGACGTAGGGCACGTTGGGGGGGTGGCCCAGATCGTCGGGGGGGGTCCCCCTGACGATCTTGGCCACGCCCCCAACATGCTACGTCGTGCGCCACTTCCGTTGATGTTCTGGCGGCGCGCACGCGCACATCCCCAGCCAGGTCCCGGAGCGAGAAGATGCTCCCCCCGCCGGTGAGTAAATTACATTTGGCAACCCTATTACATAAACACACACAGAATGTTTCACTTTCCCCCCAAATTGCTATTTTCCTCCTGGAAACAACAAAACAAAACCAGAAAAAAACTGTCCCCCCACCATGGCTTCAAAATTTCAAGAAATTTTACATCTCTAAAAACCGGCCAGAATTTTAACCAAGTAAAAACTCTCCTGTTTTGTATAATCCTAAGAACAGAGCACTAACTTCAAAATCAAGCTCGATCATCATGCAGTACCAAGGAGCTTAAAACAGTCACTAAATACCACTGAATATTCTTTTGTGAGTTGTCTTTAGCCCTCTGGTGGGAAACATGTCCTGCCTGGATAATGATATTTCTTAAGCTGTTTTTGAATTCTACAACAGTAGCTGGTGGTTCGAAAGGTGAAAAAATGTTCAGGAGAGAAATAAAAGGGTATATTGTTAGGATTATTTTTTTCAACCCCATTTGAAAGGCCACTTGAGGAACTCTTTCTTAAGAAAGTTTCAGTAACCTCTCATTGTTTACGGCTAGACTCTTAAACCAGAAAATAAGTACATAACATGTTAAATTCTGGTCTCCATGGGCAATGGCCTGTAGATACTTTCTAGCTAGAAACATTTTCTTGTTCTTTCTTTGCCAAAGAACCAAAGAGCAGATAAAACAATGCTAATTCCCAAAAAACTACCGTCACAGATTACAGGATTGTTCTTTTATCTGTTTTAAACAGATGAACAGAGGGAAATTCATTTGGACCAAGAAAGGGAGGCATATGTTTGGATACAGAAGAAATTCGTATTGGAAGGTGTATGGAAGATTTTTTTTTAAATCACCATGTGGCAAGAGACCAGGGGTTTGGCTATTATGCAGCTTCCAGAATCGGGGATTATGTGGGTGGGGTGGTAACAGCAGTCAGAATAAATCAGACATTTGGGGGAAACCTCTAGAATACGTTGCAAGCTAATGAGGAAGTGGAGTTGGGGGGACACACGGAGAAGAGATGCAAATGGTGCAAACTGGAAGGATACATGAAAAAGGGCTGGCGAGTGGCGAAGATACAGCCTCCTCCCCAGCAGCTAATTCACACATTCAGCGCAGCATTTTGCTTGTCTAGGCTCACTAGACAGACTGAGGAGAGGTTTAACGTGTGTATGAGAGGATGGGAGATTAGTCGCTTGGGTTGCAAGCAATGTTCCCTCTAAACTGTGGAGTCCTGTGAGCAAAAATTCTACTTTGTGAGCTTCTGGCATTAAAGTTGTGAGCAATCGATTTGGCTGCTGCCTAAATCAGTTTGCTCTGGGGCCATCCTTCCTGAGCGAAGACAAAAATGTGTGAGCCGGAGGCTAAAAAACTGTGAGCTAGCTCACACTAACTCAGCTTAGAGGGACCGTTGGTTGCAAGCCCTCCTGCCCATGAGAAGGAGGGAGAATTGAGAGAGTGAGTGAGTGAGTGGGTGGATGGATGGGGAGGGCTATGAGGTGAACATCTAGGCAGCTGCCAATGGGAGCCCTGAAGTGGGGTTTGCACATTTCCACCTGCTCATCCCCTCAGGAACACTCCCCCCAAGTGTGTTTCTAAGACTCTGAGGAGAACCCTCGCAAGGGGGCTTTAATAACGGGAGGGGCGGGCACGGGATTGGCCACTGTCCGGCGTATGTTTACTTTTTTTATTTAACACATTTTTATGCCGCTTTTCCATCCAGTTCAGGGTTCCCCCCCCCCCCTTCTTACGAGGACGGGACTATTCGACTGACAGAACGGGTCAGCGAATTACGATCCTCCCCCTTCCCCCCCCCCGCGGAGGCAGAAACCCCCAGGCGAGGCCTTGACCTTGACGGTGGGGGGGAGGAGGCGGAGACCCATCCGACCTTGCCCCCTCCTGCCCGCCTGCCTCCCGCGCGCGTCACATACACACACCCCTCCCGCCATGTTCTGCCCCCTCCCACCGCGGCTCCCCTCACCTGAGGAAAAAAAGGCGGGAACTGGCCCCCTGTTCGGCGAAGGGGCGGAAGCGGGCCCCGCTCCCCCGCAGCAGCGCCCCGGCCGCCATCTTGACCACTGAAGCTGAAGGCGGGCGGTCGGGGGGAGAGGAGGGAAGGGGGCGCAGTGTGCCCCGGCAGCCGCTAGAGGGACCTCCTCGGGGGAAGAATTAGGATGGGAGGGGGGAGAACAGGTGGGAAGCGCTTCCCAGCCCCAGCCTCCCCCCCTCAGGATCTATGTGGACGCCCCAAACCCACAGTGTCAAGGCTAAGCCCTATGCCGTATGTCACGGCGGCGATGGAGAGTGTCCCCGCCAGATTTCCGCCCCCGCTTCACAATGTCCAAATTATTTCAGTTGTACCCCTCATGCATTGTATGTTGTTTTTTAAAAGTATTTTTTAAAAGGCAAAGGCCCTCTGAGCATAGACAAAGTGCATTTCACTTGTGAAATAGCAGGCCAATTTCTGCAGGACAAGCCCAGGAACAGCTGCTGCAGGATATCGTATTGATATCTCTATTATACTCCAGGGTGCAAAGGTTATCTCTTATTTTAAGTGTTCATCTGATTGTATATTAAAGTTCCTGGATAAGCCTTCAAGTAAGATAAAAGACTGAACAGAGCTTATGCCCTCTAACAGCCCCCCCTCCCATTTTTAAATCAGTTTATGGAAAATTAGTGCATAGAGTGTACAGTTTATTTTAAAAAGTAAAGTAGCATTTTTTTTTTAAATGAATACATTATGCTCCGAGTTTCTTTTTGGAGTAAAAGGAAGACTTCTGGTCCCTGAAAGGTGAACAAAATAATTACACCCAAGATAATGCACATGAAGTATTTTCAACCCTCAAGACACTTCTCTGTTTTTATTACTAATATCAACTAAAACAAGAACAACAGATTTATTTCTAATTTTAAAGTGCCTCAAGATTATTTTTATTTTTTGGCTGCAACAGACAAACATGGTTATCCCTATAGAATACATTTTTTCCCCTGGCTTTACATCCCCTCATTTTGGTAACAGGCAAGGAAGACGAAATTCTGCTGGGACTTGATTTTTGGCCAGTTGTCAACCATAATATAAACAGAAACAGTGCCTATTATAATAGTTTCCTCTCAAGAGAAAAACAACAACAACCCTTCTACAGAGAGACGGTGCGGGGGGAGTGGACAGAATGCTAGTCAAGGAATGGGGAACTCCCTGGCTTCGAATCCCTAATAATGATAGGGCCATTTACTATCACTCAGTAGAATCTCATAAGGTAAGGGATGAAACTAAGCCACTCTAACCTCCTCTGGAGGCAGGCTACAATAGGGATCTACTAAATAAGTAAGGAAAAAGCATGAAATAGACCATCATACCTCCCCTGAGCACAACCCAAAAATTCCACACAAGTCTCACTCAACTGGAGCCATGCTGTCCTGCACAGCCTGTTCATTTCAATGGGGTTGGAGCAGAAGAACTGATCAAGAACAGACTGTAATCCAACCAATCCACCTTGCCAATTCTTCATGGAACTCAAAATATGCCAATTGAGCTGATTGCCTCACGTTCTTACTTCATGATAGAGCCAACACTGGAAAGAATATTTGGTCAATTTCTTCCCCCTTTTGAGTACAACCAGCGTAGACTTAAGTTAGAGGATTTATATCCCACTTCTGAGAGCTCAAAAACAGTATAGAAGAGTTTCCTTGAAACGCCCTTCATTTATCTCCATCTTCGACATCATTCTATGCACAACTAAAGCCAATTGTTTTGCCATGCTATTGGGATTTATAGTACAAAGAGTAATGGTTTCATGTGGGTCGATGAATGGATCTCTGACAAATGGATGATCTCTGACAAATTAACTGTCCTCAAGGAGCAAGCTCCCCCCCAAAGAAAAATCATACAAGAAATCAGAGTTGCGGGGATCATAGCAGACCATTTTTCAAAATATTGTTTTCAAATTTTTATCAGCTGAATATTCTGTTCCTCATAGATCCCCAGAAGTCTGAAATTTGATGTGAAGAATCTATCTGATATGGGGTACAAACTGCCCAAATATTTCCAAAAATATCTGAGATAGCTAGCTCAGTATTAGCAATTAAAATATCTGCTTTTGCAGTCACTATTTCCATATCCCCATTTATTGAGACATTTTAAAAGGGGGGCATGTCAAATTCATGAAGATGCCATACAGCTCTTAGATGTGATCGCCATGAATTTGACAAGCCCCCCTTTAAAAAAGTATAAATAAGTGCAAATATGGAAATACTGACACCAAAAGCAATTTTTTTCTCCTCCCTGCCTTTCTACTCCACTTAGACCAACTGTGAGAGTGCTGCTCTTTGAACTCTGAATATAATATTCCCATGCATTCTACCCCCCTTCAAAATAGGCATGAGCAAGGATGCCCTCTTCATCTTTTTCTGTATGCTTTCCCCAAACACACAGGCTGTTTTAACTCTTTCCCACCTCGTTAGGAAGATCGTGGGACAATCCATACTGTGACTCAGTCCAATGTTTTGCCCCACTGATCTTTAGGGTTTTCAGCTGGTAATACTAAAACCTATCAGTCTCCTCCACCTGACAGTATCGCCAAATAGATTGTGTTCTTCCTGATGTTTAGCTCCATAAATGTATGTGTTTCCTACCAAGTTCAACATGAGGGTTTTAGGGCAGCGTTCACATAGACATGTGTATTTTCATAAGGCCATCAGCTTCTCATCCACGACGAGGGACACCAGCATGAGAAGACTTCTTGCTCAGCACACAAACATGACTGGACTGTGCATGTTTCCTCTGAGTACTTTCATGGGAAAGAACTGAATCCAACTATTAATGGAGGAGGAAGAGTCTGTCGTGCATGCCCACCTCCTCTGTGCAGCTGTGAGATCCTCTTCCTTGCACTTTCTTACCTGCTTTCGACTGCAGGTTTTATAGCACTTACTGAAATTCAATATTAGTTTTACATGTTGTATGTTATCCCCAGTGGCTGCATGGCAAAGAAAAGACTTGAAAGTTCTATAAATAATCAACTTAAGGTTATTTGTGATTTTTTTAAAGAGTGAATGTTTCTGTTCATAGCAACAGTTAACTCCATTTTATTATTATTAACTGCCACCATCTTAAAAACACAGAAGCACCATGTCACGTACAACCCCTTCAAAGAGACATGAAAGAAAAGTCCCGTCTTACAAAGCCTCGCCTCCCCTTCATTTATCTGGAGAGGAAACAGTGAGCTCTTGAAGTTTTTCACTAAGGAAGCTGGTGTCTCTATCAGTGAGGTTTTCTGAGTCTGTTACACTTTCCAAGAGTTTCGATCCTGCACAGGGCTTCCCGGTCACAGGATCAATGACTTTCCCAACCTTGTACACGATTTCTGCCAGTTCATGTTTCACATGCTTGGTCCTCCGCACTGGCAAAGCTTTCAGAAGGACGATGTCTCCCACAAGGCACTGCTGCTGAGGATCGTGAGCAAAATAAGTTTTCCTCTTGTTATAGAACTGCAGGAGAAGACAGAAGAATTAGAGTCAAATAAGTTTAAAGCTCTACTGTCAGTAGGCATTTTCCCCCACCCAAATTGCACTCCGTTCAGGTTGGAAGGAAGCAATGGAGATGTGAATGAATTAAAATACTGTTATTTATCTAAAACCTTTTGCTAATGGTAAGAATATAACATTATGCCTAAACTATGAAGTTCATAGTTCTCCTTTTAAGCTATGAACTCACTTCAGTGGTCTAAGCCATTATTCTGTCAATCTCAGCCCCACCCCATCCCACTCCACTTGATTCTCTGTCATGAAAGACAGCTCATCCTGGAAGGAGCAACTGATTTCTCCCTGACTGGCTAAAAGGACATTAAATATCTCTCAGCTTGGAAGGAAAGGGCTAAAGCATTCACTCAGCCACAGGGAGTAATATTTTGGGAATGGGACAGGAAAAATAAGAAATAGTTAATGTATTTTTAAAGTAGTGAGGATAACTGAAAATACATGATTTATAATAAATAGCCATTATTCCTAAATTAAAAATATGGGAATTCCAGGATCCCACATGCAACCCACTCAAAAGAACTTCCAAGGCGACTTTCAAACTGTAACTTCCCAGTGAGCTCTATTCTACGAAAGCTTATGCTAGGAACAAAGACTTATTAGCCTTTAAAACAGCATAAGAGTCTTGTTTAGTTTTGCTGTATCAAGCTCACACAACTTCCCCATGAAATTCAAAGTGCCTTAAACACTCCCTGATGTCTTGTTAATTGGTCCAGCAGCACTCACACCGTCTGCATGTAAACAGAAACATTGCAAGTGCACATTTTTGGACACTCCTTGCACTAAACAGCATCTGGAAATGAAAATGTACAGCTCCCTGCTGCCCCTGTCTTTCTGCACTTTAAAATACACATTTTCCCGTAAGCTCATTGTTATTTTATCTTGTCTCTTTTTCTTGAGTAGAAGAGGACCCAGGAGCAGAACCCCTCAGGTGGACAGCCAGGTCATCACTTATGCTTGTATTATGCAAGCATAGACCTGCTCCATTTCAGAGACAGTACCAGAAGCTCCCTGCTCTTACCTTAGCTGAGCCATGTAACCACCACCATAAAGCATCATTTGGGGATGGAGGAGAAAGACAGCAAGGGAGAGAGAGAGAAATGAAAGAAGCAGGGAAGCTTACAAAAAAAAGAAATATTAAAATCAAGAGTAGATCTTTCATTACATGCTAGGGATGAAAAATCAGGTTCTAATAGTGCCACCCTACATAGGGTTATACTCTTCTAAGCCCATTCACTTCATTAGGCTTAGAAGGGTGTAATTCTGCTTAGGATGGAACAGCAAATGTATAAAATAAGGCTATGGCTGGAGACCATAACTGGACAAAGACAATCGTCACTTACTTGCAACCTCTGCAACTTACTTTCCCTCTAAGGAGCTAAGACCCGTGTTTTATCCTTACAACCAGTGTTGGATTTACGCACAGGATTCAGTAAACAACACTTCGGGGTCTCAGATTATGAAGAGTTTTTAAATTTAAAGAAACCTATATTTCAAGTGTTATACATTTCTGGCAATGCCATGGGGCCTCTTAAACTTGACATACTTTAGGGTAGAGGTATCGAACTCATTTGTTACGAGGGCTGGATCTGACATGAATGTCACCTTGTCGGGCCTGGCCATGTGTACCATGAAACGTAGTGCCAGGTACCAGGGATATAAACTTCATAAAGGAAAGCAGCTGGTAAGCTTTGAGTTGGTGTGTCCTCTTTGCGAGGCCCCCCAGGCTACAATGGGGGGTGCAGAGGAAAACCCACATGGGCAGACTGGAGAGCCAGCAGTGCAGTGCTGGGCAGACGCCCCCATGCTGCCCAGAAGGGGGGGGAAACCCCTTCCCCAGCCTGCTTCTGCAGCAAATGCTGTGAGCCCTGGCCCCAGGGGAATGAGGCGAAGTGGCTGGGTGTTGTGAGCTCCCCCCACCCCTGAGCCACAGTGGAAGGGAACTGGGAGGATGGGTTGAACTAACTTCCTCTGCTTGTTGAAGTGTGTGGGGGGGCCCGCGGCGGCCCAGGTGCGAGGCTGCATGCGTGGCAGAACCCAGGCCGAGCAAAGCCCAATAAGCCAGAGACTCCCGTGTGGCAACCGCCACCTCTGTCCAGGGCCACCAGGTGATCCATGGAGGTTGATGCCAGGGGTTCAAGCCAAAGATCACTGGCAAGCCACCCCATCCCCATGCAGCGGCAGCCACCCCAGGCCGAAGGCCACCAGTATGTCCAATGGGGGGCAGGCACCACGGGCACAAGGCCCCGTGTATGGCAGAAGCCCCAGGCCACCCAGCAACCGGGAAATCACCGGTACCACCCCCTCCCATGAGGCAGTAGCTGCCTACGGCGGAAGGCTGCCAGGTGGTCCATGGGGGAGGGAGGCCTGGCCGTCGTATTGTGTGCTTGGTGGCAGGACTAGGGCCCCGATGTGCAGAAGGAACTGCCAAAAATGCCCCCCCCCCCTGGGCTGAAGCACAGCCGCTGAATGGGGGTGCATGCAAATATCGCAGTGCTACCTGATAACTGGCCCCGGCAGAGGATCATCTGTGTCACCTCCCCACGCAAACGCTAATTCCCCGCAGCCATTTGGGGCAGCATCCTTGGAGCTGCAGGCCGAGTGGAGAGGTGAGCGACCCTGCCCTGGAACCCTGAGCTGGTGAGAATGCAGCTGCGGCAGTCCCGACTTACCACTGAGGCTGCCGCTGAAGTGAAGGGGTTCTGCTTGACTGCTGCAGACGAGGCTGCTCCGCTGCGCTGAAGCCACAATCGGAGTGGCTCCGCCCCCCCCCCCAGCAGCCTCCTGTTCCCTCCCCCACACCAGTTGCTTGCACGTTAGATAAGAGCCCTGGGTGGGCCAATTCTAGCCCGTAGGCCTTACGTTTGACACCCCTGCCTGAGGGCCTCAGCACGTCTTAATCCGGCCCTGCTCACAACAACGATGGGAGGCAGATAAGCCTGAGAGATGATTTGTCCAAGTCCTTCATAGCTGTGGCAGAATTTAAACTCGGTATTCCC